GGCTCGGTTTGAGGAAGTGACTTATATACACTTATACACTCTGAAGCTTTATTTTACAGATGGGGAAACTGGACCCAGAGAAGGGGCCTGTTGTTTAGCCTTTGAGCCTTGATTTCTCTGTTGACAAAATAAGACTGTTCCCTCCTGACCCATTTCAGATGGGTTATATAAGGATGAAAATAAGAAGCCTGGTGATTTGAGGCTTTATTCTCATAGTAGTACAATATCGTAGAAAGAAGGTTTAGAACCCAAGACCTGGGTTCTAATCCTGGCTCTGCTACTTACCGTATTGCAACTGTGACTTTGGGAAATTCACTTCCTCTTTCCAAGTCCCAGTTTCTTCCTCAGTTAGTCAGTAGACATTAAGTCCTCACTCTATGTCAGGCACTGTGCTAAGTGTTGGGACACAGAGAAAAGCAAAACCAGCCCCTGTCCTCAGAGTTTACATTCTGGCGGGACAGAACCATGTAAATAATTAGGTCCTTGGCTACAGTAACCTCAGAGAGGAGGCACCAGCAGCTGGGGGGAGGGGGGATCAGGAAAGGCCTCCAGCACAAAGCGGGATTTGAGCTGAGTCTAGAAGGAAGCCAGGGAGCTTTAAATGCCAAACAGAGGACTTTATAATTTGCTCCTGGAGGTAATAGGGAGCCCCTGGAGTTTATTGAGTAATGGGGTGACATGGACTAATGTAGGACATTGGATAGCTGCCTGAAGGATAGAATGGAGGTGGGAGAGCCTGGGCAGGGTACCAGTTGGGATGCTATCGTGGTAGAACAGGCTGGTGTCCATTTTGGTCCAGATTGTGTAGACGGTGTGAGCAGAGAGGAGGGGGTCTTGTATGAAAGCTGCTCTTTAAGGGTCCTCCTAGCTCAAAATCTAGGTCCCTGTGATTCTGCCGGGGGAATGAGTGTAGACCTCCTCAGAGCGACCCAGAGTATAAATGCAAGGGAATACACAGAGCTATCATGAGGCAGCATGGGACGTGACTTCGACCCCCTCCCCGCAGAGAATGTGCAGTTTTTTCTCCTGGCTCCTCCCAGCACCCTGCTGGCTTGGGGTCTCATGGCCATCACACCCCTCTTCCCAGGGGCCTGAGGTCTCCTTGGCCCAGCTAAGCCACTTGGCCTAGGTAGAGCAAATGTCAGGGCAGGAGAGAATGCCTGAGATCAGCACCCCTTCTTCTGCACAGTCAGTTCACCCCTACCCCTTCCCCAGTCACTTTGCTGTGTACCCTCTGAGAACCTTCTGCTGTGATAAGGGTTGAGAGGCATTTACTGAGTCCTAGCCTGGCCATTTTCTAGGGAGGTCTTTCCTTGGCTAAGTCCCCTCACCTCTCTAGGCCTTCGCTCCCTCATCTGTAAAATGACAAGCCTTGATTTGATTCCCTTCCATCTAAAGCTCTTGTCAAACGAGACGATGTTTGTCAAGCTCCGTGCACTTAGTAAGTACTCAATGAATGCTTATTCCCTCGCCCTGTCCTGTAATCCTCCCTCGCTCGTCCAGTCTCCAGGTACTTACTGAATCCTAGCTTTCTCCTGAAGACGCCACACACACCCTTTGGCACCCTCCCAGGCCCAGCAGCTCAAACCCTACAGCCTCTGACACAGAAGGCCAGGCGGGGAGCTCCCCTGCCCCACCACTCAGTAACTACCTCTTCTCCCTCCTGCCCTGATCTGGGTGGCTGTCACCTTTGGACCTCCAGATCTTCCCTCCTTCTGAATAAATCCTCTACCTGGCTCTCAGTGTCTGTGCAGTCCCTACCCCATTCAGTCTCCTGGCCTCCTGTTCCCTTCACCTCTTCTGCTTCAGGCTGCCTCATTCCTGAGAGTCCCCGGCACCCCTACTGCCCGGCTCGACTGAGTTTGCCCCAGAGGACGGAATTCTTCCATAACAGTTCTGTCCTGGCCTGTTGAAACCGGACCAGTTTTCTCTGTGCAGGGTGTTGTGTAGGCAACCTGAGGTCATCTCGCTGTTTATTTTTATAAGAACATGATTCGCATCTGGTTCAGACACTGTTTCCCCTGTTTGTTTCCCCTTTTGCTGTTAATAAATGTCTCTGGGTTTGCCAGCATTTTTACATAACAAGTTATCCCTCGCTCATCACATACTCACCTGCCCCATTTTCTCTATCCCTGCTGTGTAATTAATTGTCTGAAAGGCACATCTCACTCAGCCTCTGGTTGTGAAAGTGATTTCTGAATCGCACGTTTATTGTTATTAAATTTCAACACAGTGTAGGGGAGAGCTGACTCCAGAGTCAGAAAGCCCTGGGTTCAAGGCCGGTCTCTGACATCTCCTGGGTGAGTGACCCTGCCCAAGTCACTTCACTCAGTGCCCCATGAAGCATTCAAACTTTTTTTTTTTTGGTTATTTTTTTTGTTTTGTTTTGTTTTTAGGCAATTGGGGTTAAGTGACTTGCCCAGGGTCACACAGCTAGTAAGTGTCAAGTGTTTGGTCTGAGACCGGATTTGAACTCAGGTCCTCCTGACTTCAGGGCCGGTGCGCTATCCACTGCGCCACCTAGCTGCTCCTAAGCACTCAAGCTTCTGGGAAGGGGCTGCCCAGCCCGGTGAGGGGGTGCTTCACAGCCCCATGTTTACCACTCAGTTTCAGAGAGGTTACTTAGCTTCTCTAAGGTCACACGGGAAGTAGCAAAGGCCAGGTTAGCTCCAGAGTGACCTGACTCCACTCTTTATCCACTTATTAAATGCTTCCCCCTGTGCTTAGTGAGACAGAGATAAATAAGATGTTGTCCCTGTCTTTGAGGTGCTCTGAAAGGAAGCATTTACTATGTGCCTCAAGTGTAAGCACTTTACCCCTTTGATCCTTACAACCACTCTGTGAGATAGGTGCTATTATGATCCCCATTTTACAGCTGAGGAAACTGAGGCAGACAGAGGTTATGGGAGTTGCTTAGGGTCTCACAGCTAGTTAGTGTCTGAGGCCAGATTTGAGTTCAGGTCTTCCTGACTTCAGGCCCAGTGCTCTATCCACTGTGCCACCAGCTGCCTCCCAAGTCCCAACTCCTAAGGCTTTGCTTTTATTTAGCATCTCTTATGTTCCAGGCTCCATACTGGGCACTGGGGATACAGATATGAACGTGAGGCAGTCCCTGTCCTCAGAAGCTTACATTCCAATAGGGGAATGAATACAGTAGAGACAGTAGAGTGGTCACCAGGAGAAGAGAGTAATGGATGCTTGCAGCCGGGGCAGGGGTTAGGAGTAGGACAAGCCATCTAGATGCATAAATTTTATAAATTGGACTTGGGTGAAATGCATTAGAAAGGTACTGAGTGCTAAGTCGAGGTGGGGGAAAGAAAGAGAGAGAATGCATCAGGAGATTCCTAGGGTAGAGCTGCTATTAGTCATTAGGGGCTAGTTTGTCCTCTATCAGACCCGAGTCCCCACCTGAGACCACACCAGTTTGGGGGCCATTCCTTGGTTTAATTTAGGGATACCATATCCTGCTTTTCAGGTGTCTTTCCACATAGCAGATATGGAAATCTCAAATATATAGGGAGCTGAGTCCAATTTATAAGAATACAAGTCATTCCCCAATTGATAAATGGTCAAAAGATATGGACAGGCAGTTTTTAGATGAAGAAGTCAAAGCTATCTATTGTCATATAGAAAAAGAAATGCTCTAAATCATTACTGATTGATTAAAAAAATGCAAATTAAAGTAACTCTGAGGTACCACTTTACATCTATCAGATTGGCTAATATGACAGAAAAGGAAAATGATGAATGTTGAAGATGTAGGAAAATTGGAACACTAATGCATTATTGGTAGAGTTGTGAACTGATCCAGCCATTCTGGAGAGCAATTTGGAACTATGTGTAAAAGGGCTATAAAATTGTTCATACCCTTTGACTCAGCAATACCACTACTAGGTCTGTATCCCAAAGAGATTTTAAAAAGAAGGGGGGGGAAGGACCTATGTGACAAAAATATTTAAGAGGCTCCTTTTGTGGTGGCAAAGAATTAGAAATTGAGAGGATGCCCACCAATTGGGGAATGGCTAGACAAATTCTTATGTATGATTGTGATGGAATACTATTGTGCTATAAGAAATGACTAGCAGACAGATTCAGAAAAACCTGGAAAGACTTACATGAACTGATGCAGAGTGAAGTGAGCAAACATTGTACATAGGAGAACATTGTACACAACCATATTGTACGAGGATCAGCCGTGAGTGACTTGGCTGTTTTCAAGTGTCTTTCCAGCTGCTGACTTCCTGCTTCTGCGATCTGACCGCCCAGCCATCTGCAGGGAAAAAGGCGGTGGGGGCAGTCCCTGCGTGAGCTTTTATAGATCTTTATTTGCTGTGGAGGTGGAAGGGATCTCGGGGTCATCTTGTCCAAGGGGTCTTAACCTCTGTGTGTGTGTGTGTGTGTGTGTGTGTGCGTGTGTGTGTGCGCGCACGTGCGCATGTATCTGGAAACAGATTTCATGAACTTGTATGGAAAAAAAAGTCCATCTTTTATTTTCACTAACCTCCAACTGAATTTGAGCATTTCCTTCAATTAGGAAGGAAAAGAGTATTCTGAGGGAGGGGTCCAAAGGCCTCGCCAGACTACCACAAGGATCCTTGATACAAAAAAGGTTAAGAATCCCTGATTTAGCCCACCCCTTCATTTTACAGATGAGGAAACTGAGGCCTGGGGTAGCCATGATTTGAACCCAGATTCTCTCATGCCAAAGCAATGTTCTTTCCATTACACCACACTGCCTCTTTTAGCTTCACTTGGCTTCAGCTTTCTCTTCTGTAAAATCGGAATGATAATAGTTATTTCCTCATGGGACCGCTGCAAGATGGAAGGGACCTGGTGGGTGCAGAATGTGCGCTCTTTATTCTCCAGTGAACCAGATGAGTGCGTTTCACACCCAAGCTATCCCCTATGCAATTGCATGACATGCCAGGCCCCCCCCCCCCCCCACTGTACTGGAATGGATTTTCTAATAGGCTTTAGATCAGTCTCAAATGTAGGTCAAGGGAAGCTTATGCAGGCTTGCAGAGGGGGTGATGAGTCACGTGTATCCCTTCCAGCCACCACGCTTGATTCAGTGTCCAGAGGTACAGCAGGCGCTAAGGAAGAGGCAGACTGTTATAAATTATAATGAACCAGCGTCTCTGTTGCCGTGATGGCCGAGTCTGATGTCGGGGCAATGACACAGAGCTTGCTGTCCAGGGCCTTAGCCTGGCGGCGGTGGGGAGGATGTTGGAGAAGGCCCCTTGCTGGGAGATGCTGCCCCACTAAGAGCCCAGGCCTGGGGCTGGAGGCAGCAGTTGTTGGCTCAGAAGTGGGAGTGTATTTTCCCTCCTCCTCTTACCTCTCCAGAGCTGCCTCCATGAGCCTTAAGTGGCCTCCTGTTGTCCTGTCAGCCTTCACAAGCCAGTGGGTTTTCATCAAGTAAAAATCCTAGGCAGGCTGGTGTTCAGCCAAAAGTGAAGCTATTGACAGAGCTCTGAAATCGACTTCTCTTTAAATGACTTCTCATGATGACGTGGGGCCTGACTTGTCAAACAGAGTTGTCTCATATTCAGGAAGGAGAAACGGCCGGGGCAGAGCTGTAGGTCCATGATAGGAAGATCAGGTGAAGAAGTGGGGATGTTTAGCCTGGGGAAGAAAAGATCCAGGGGGCCCATGATACTTAAATTTTGTAGTATCTGAAGGACAGGCATGTGGAGGAGGATTTTACCTGAGCTTGGAGGGCAAGACCAGGAACGATTAATTGGTGGAGCTTACAAAGAGACCAATCTTGGGTCAATGTGAAGAGAAACTTCCTAACCACGAGAGCTGTAGAAGTAGCTGCATGGGTCAAAAAAAAAAAAAACCAAAAAACAAAACAAAACCATAGCATCTCAATTTCAGAGATGGAAGAGAAATGCATCTAATCCAACCCAAACCCAAAAGAAATCCCCACTAACCCACTAACCTCCCCAACAAGTGTTCCTCCACTATCTGAGGGGGTTCCCATGGCCTCCGAAGGTGGTCCATTAATTCCCCTTTTGGACAGCTCTCATAGTAAGAAGCATTTTCCTCCGCCAAGGCTAAACTGTTCCTTGTTACTTGTAACAGCCATTGAAAAGTGGAAAGTCTCTGGAGAGTGTGCATTTTTCCTCTCAGTTTGGAGAGCACCATGTTCTCCCCCTGGCAACACCTTTCTTGCTTTGAGCCACTGGTCATCTTCTCGTCTCTGTTCCTTTCAGCTTTTTGATCATGTTGCTGAATGCCTGGGTGACTTCATGGAGAAAAAGAATATCAAAGACAAGAATTTACCTGTTGGATTTACCTTTTCCTTCCCCTGCCGACAGACAAAAATCGATGAGGTAAGAATGTCCTAGAACTCCCTGGCTGCCTGGTGCTCTGGGCTTAAAAGAAGCTTCTTGGTCCATTTTCTCTGATTGGGTCCATGATGGAGGGTCCTGGGAGGTTCCTGCATGGGGATTCAGTGATACAGATTCCGTGATTGAGAGTCAATGATGGAATCCATAATGGAGAGTCTGTGATACGCATTCTGTAATGGAGGGTCCATCATAAAGACTCTGTGATATACATTCCATGTTGGAGGGTCTGTGATACGCATTCTGTGATTGATAATCCATGATGGAGGATCCATCGGAGAGTGCCTACTAAGGAAAGTATATTTACTGTAAAGTAGTGGTATAAAGAAAACCATCTGCAAAAAATCAGCGTGTGACTCTGAACTTTGACTATTCTAACTTGCATTTTCCCCCAGTTATTTTAATTATTAGCATATTTTAGGAGAGGAATGTAAAGCTCCTTGTGGCCGAGGGGGAAGTTTACAAAATTTCTCCAAATAAAGGAAAACCCAGCTGGGCTTGAGATGACTCCAAAGGGGTGAAAGAAGGGCTAGGCCTTACTGGATCATGTATGAGCCTTTCTTCCTGAGCCATTTTTGTGTGGCTTATCTGGGCTTCAGGAGGAAGAGGTAGGTTGGGGGTGAGGGGTGGTTTTATTCTTTCTCTTTTCTTGACCACCTCATGCCTCCTATTTCCAAAGCAGCTATGGACACAGCCGCCCTGTGTAAGTCTGCATAAGCTTACAACATATAAATGTGGACCATGTTTCCATTTTTCTTTTTTTTAATCACAGTGCCTAATGTAATTGCCTAATATAGAAAATGCTTCTTTGCTGCAAAGCCTATGCAACTGTCAGCTGTTATCATTATTTAAATGACCCTGCATTGCTAAGAGGGGTTGGTGTTAGGGCCATGTAGTGGGAGGAGAGGGAAACAGCCTCTACTGGAGGCCAGAAGAATGGGAACAGGGAGCACTAGTGGACCGCTGAAGTGATGTAAGTTTGAAGACTTCATAGAGTATGGAATTGAACCCCTGAAGAGGAAGCAACTTCCTGTGCTCCACAGAATGATGGTGAGAAACCACAGGTCCAGTCAGGATGAGAAAACATGGTGTTCAAATGCTATCTCTGCCACTTATGACTTGTGTGACCTTGGGTGCCTCTCTGAGCCTCAGTTTCTCTATCTGTAAAATGAAGTGATTGGACTAGATGTTGTCTGAATCATAGCTCTAAAGCTATGAATTCTTTGCTAGGCTCTAGAACTGGCCACAGGAGGAAAAGACAAAGTCTGGTGGTTGGAGACCCTCTGCTGAGATGTACCCAGACAGTTTTGTGCTGACTCTACATGAAAAAGCAGAAAGTTTGTTGTCTTCAAGTCAGCCAACATTCAGAGCCTGCTCTGTGCAAGGCTATAGAATAATCCCTGTCCTTGAGGAGTTTACATTCTACTAGGAACAGATAACATGGATACAACTAAGTAAGCACAATATAATTTGATTAGACAGAGAATATTAACTGCTGAAAGGCATCAGGAAGGAAGTGTCAGTTGGCACAGTATTTATCTAGCTGGGACACACCACACTGCCTACGGAGACTGGTTAAACCCAATACCCATTACTCACTTCTGATGAGTTGAATGATACCTCTGTGAAAGGATACTGTGTGAACATCTCTAGAGATTGTGAACTTATGGGCAGAAAACAGAAGATGTTAGAGGTGCAGGTGGCCAGGGAAAGACAGGGGTTTCAGAAGAGAGGGACAGATATGAGAAGCAAGCATGTTAATTAGATGATAGGATTATATTAATATGTTAATAAGATAATTAGACTTAAAGGATATTATTAGATTAATAAGAGAACAGCATTTGGATTTTTAGACCAGAGTTGGAGTTTTAGGAATGATGGGTTTTTTCCAAGGATGGAGTATATCTAGTGGGGGCCGGAAAGCATAAAGATTTGCACATTTGATTAAGAGAATTCTACCCTGAAATTGGAGGGGATGGAAGAAAACTGCCCACATACATCTGCTAAGCCAGATGCCACATGAAGATTAAGCCATAGAGAAGCCTAGTGATTAATGGGAGAGAGAATCCCCAAACAATGTTTCATTTTTGCCTTTGGACCCCATGTACCCAGTGCAGTGTCTGACACATCATATATGCTCGTTGCTTGCTTTATAATTGAAACCCTAGATTTTGGGAGAATGGAGTTCAGAGAGTTCAGAGAAATAGATTCCCCTGGCCCAAGATTCTGTAGGACATGGAGGGTAGGGATCAGCTTGAGAGGAATGGTAGCACCCTTGGAAACACAGACCCTAGTGATTAGAGTGGAAGGAAAAAGGGAGTATTGGGTCTAAATGAAAGTGTCTAACACACTGGCCTGCAACACTCTCGAATGAAAATGTAATTAGGAAATATTTAACAAAATAAGTAAAAAAAAAATAGAAAATTGTTGTGTTCAGTTGTGTCTGACTCCCTATATAGTCCTCATGCTGTTATTGTTGTTCAATCATTTTTAGTCATTCCTGTCTCTTCATGACCCCATTTAGTTTTTTCTTGGCAAAAATACTGGAATGGTTTGCCATTTCCTTCTCCAGCTCATTTGACAGATGAAGAAACTGAGGCAAACAGGGTGAAGTAACTTGCCCGGGGTCACACAGCTAGTAAGTGTCTGAGGTTGGATTTGAACTCGAGTCTTCCTGTTTCCAGGCCTGGCGCTCTATGCACTATGGCATCCCCTAGCTGCCCGATAGAAAATAGGTAATGTTAGCTTGTGGTTTTTCAAGTGCATCTGAGAGCCTGTTTCTACTTGAGTTTGATGTCGCAGGTCTAGATAGATGATAGAACTCAAGCTCCATCTTAGACTTTACTGAGACGTGTACAAAAGGTGGAAGCCAGGGTCGGGAGTGGTGGAGGATGGACACGAAGGAGCGTCTTGGTCCATAAACAGAGTCCTCTTAGCAGAAGCCCAGGAGAAGGGAAGGCTGGGGAGCTTCATCCGCGCAGTTTGCTTTTGTCTGTCTGAAGCTGTTGGGGGCAAGGAGAGAGAGTGAGAGGATCCAGGCTCAGAAGGATGGCAGGAGGGTAACAGGTGACAGGGGAAGGCAGAACTACTCAACTCTATTTTTCTTCTGCTTTCTCTACCTCATCTCCAGAAGATCAGCCGCAGCAAGTCGTGAAAGACCCTATGCTGAATCTCCAGGCACTTAGTGGTATAGGTGTGAGTCCAGATGATACAGGCACTGTGCTTAGAGATGAAGATACAGAAACAAAAGAGAAACAATTCCAACCTTCAGGAAGCTTACATTCTATTAAGGGAAACAAGCCATTGACATATATAAACATATGTAAGGCGATTGGGACTGGACCTTTGATTTAATTAGGGTAGAGTCCTCCCAGGTGAGGAAACTCCCTCCAACAAAGCAGATGGGCACCCAACTTAATGTCTTTTCTTTTTTCTTTTTTTCTTTTCTTTTTTCCCACTTGATAGTATTTTATTTTTTCCAATTACATGTAAAGATAGTTTTCAACATTCACTTTTATAAGATTTTGAATTCCAAATTCTTTTCTCTCTCCCCTTTTCTCTCCTGAAGATGGCATGCAATCTGATATAGGTTATACATGTACGATCATATTAAACATATTTCCACATTAGTCATGTTGTGAAAGAAGAATCAGAAAAAAAGGGAAAAATCACAAGAAAGAAAAAAAATAGTGTGCTGCGATCTGCATTCAGACTCCATAGTTCTTTCTCTGGTTGTGGATAGTATTTTCCATCATGAGTCTTTTGGAATTGTCTTAGATAGTCGCATTGCTGAGAAGAGCTAGCTAACCAACTCATTGTCTTGTTATAAAGACCATTGCACAGAATCATTCAGCCAACATGTGTCACAGGCAGGATTTGAACCCAGGTCTTCTCGGGCAGCTAGATGGTGTAGTGGGTAGAGCAGTGGGCCTAAAGACCTGAGTTAAAGCCCAGCCTCAGACTGAAACATGCCTGACAAGGAGGGTTGTAAAGTACATTATATTCTTTAGGGCACTGTACACATGGCAGTAGCTAAGTGGTGTGGGGGCTGAGAAGACTGTACTTGGAGTCTTGGGAGACCTCAGTTTATATTCTGCCTAAGATAATTGCTAGCTTGCTGACCTAGGGCAATTTACTTAACTTCTGTTTGCCTCAGTTTCCTCATCTGTATAATGGGAAAATAATAGCACCTACCTCCTATGGTTGCTGTGAGAATCAAACGAGATCAGATTTATAAAGTGTTTAGCACAGTGCCTGGCACACTTAGGTGCTTTGTAATATTAGTTATTATTATTTTTTAAAAAATTTTATTTTATTACTCCTAGCTCCAAGCCCAGCTCTATATCCACCATGCCAAGCTGCCTCCCAGACCTATATACAAAAGATCTTTAAAAACAGATACAAGATAATTTGGGGGTCAGAGAAAAAGACTCACTGTTGGGTTGATCAGGAAAGGGCCTCACGTAGAAGACAATACTTAAGTTCAGCTTGGAAGGAAACGAGGGATGCTAAGGAATGGGTAAGGAAGCGAGGAATGAGGAACAGCCAAAGCAAAGACATGGAGGTGAGAGATGGGGTATCATCTATAAGAAAAAATGAGGCCACCTTGGTGGAATTATAGAGTATGTGAAAGGGTAATCCCTTTCACTCATTAATATGAGTAAAAAGTCTAGCCCAGGTTGTGAAGTCCTTTGAATGATGAGCAGAGGGATTTATGTACCAAGTGGAATAATCTTCAGATTGGGAAATAGAGAACAAAAATGGTCAATAGGAAGTTGAAATCTAGACTAAAGGAAGCCTTTTATTTGGAGGAGGTGAGGGTGGATTCTAGACCTGTGATTTAATTACCATAGGGACTTCCTGTGTGGAAGTGCCCTTCACTGATGAAGATCAGTAACTTACAGACTCTAAGAGCTGCCTGGGTTACTGACACAGATTTTTTTTACCTCCCAATCCAGTACCCTGTCCGTTACACTATACTCTTTGGACTTTTGGGGGAGGGGAGAGGAGGGGGAGCTGGGGGTACATGTAGCCCCAGAAGAGGAAGTGTGGTCTCTGCAGACACTTTGGAGGACAGGACTCAACTACAGTTTTCTGATGTGAGGTGGAGAGCCAGCATGCACTTATCATGGCACTTTATTCTTAATCATTTTTTCAGAGCAAACGCTGTCAGATCATGATTGCATTTTTTTGCAGCACGCCAGGGGTCAGAACTGCAGATTGTTAACTTAATTCTGTTAAGCAGCTGCTGTGTTCCAGGCACCGGGTTAGGTGTTGGGGGATGAGAGAGATAGGGAGATGTTCTAATTTCCCTGCCCATCTTTACATAAAGAGCCCCCCCTCAGCGTAAACTCTCATGCATCAGGAAGATTCCTTCCGCATCCTTAAAATGAACATACAAGGAAGCCACACATCAGGAAGGAGTCAGCGGTAGAAACAAAAGGTCTGATGTGCTATGTGGTCCTGGGCGCATCACCTGTCTCCTCTGGGACAGAGTTCTCTGCTGCCCTTGCACGGCATCTTTAGGGTCCAGTTTTACTGGTGCCTTATTTTTCCTACACCACAATCATTTCGCTGTGTAAACCTCCCACCACCTCCACCCAGAGAAAGCCCTTGCTTATTACAAAGAAAAAACAGTTAAGGAACACAGACAGACATGACTGACATCAGACGTGTGTCTGAGAGGGCATGCAGCATTACACACTGGTGGACCCTCACCTCTTTACAGAGAAGAGGGAAATGTGTTTTATTTTCTGTTCTCTGGGACTGATTGGTCATTGGCGTGAATCTGAACTCAGCAACTTGGTAGCGTTGTCTTCATTTACATCGCTGTAGTCACTGTATATATTCTACGTATATTGCCTATGCTGTGTCTATTGTGCATACATTGTGTGTGTTGTATATACATATATTATGTATGTTGTATATATACATGTGTTGTGTATATTGCGCATGTATTGTGTGTGTTGTATATATACATGTGTATATTGTAAATATATTGTGTATGTTGTATATATTGTGTATGTTGTATATATACATATATTATGTATGTTTTATATATATACACATTGTGTACATACACACACATTATGCACATTATATATACATTTATTGTATATGTTGTATATATTGTAAATATATTGTATATACACACATATATTATACATATTACACATATACATATATTGTGTATGTTGTGTATGTTGTATACACATACATATATCATGCATATTGTACACACACATTATGTATGTTGTATACACATACATATGTTATGTGTGTTGTATATATAGTGTATGTTATATATATGCATATATTGTGTATGTTATGTATATTGTGTATGTTGTATATACATGCATATATTGTAAATATATTGTATATGTTGTACATGTTGTATATGTTGTGTATACATATATTATGGAGGTTATATATATATATACGTATATTGTGTATGTTGTGTATGTTGTGTCTGTCCTTTTAGTCCTTTAGTTCTCTTGGCTTTCCGTCCGTTGCTCCACGTCTTCCCACGTTTCTATGAATTCCTCATATATGTTGTCCCTTGTCATTGGTGCAGCAATATGTGCCAGACTTGGTTTATCTACCCTCTAATTGATAGGCACCCACTTGGTTTGCAGGGTTTTGCTACCACAAAAAGTGCTGCTGCAAACATTTTGTGCACGTATATATACACATAGATCATTGTTTGAGCGTGACATTTCTTTCTGGTTTTGACCTCCTTGGGCTGTACCCTCGGTAGTAAGATCACTTGGTCAAAGGCTGTGACTTTTCTGGAATAATTACAAATTGTCTTCCAGAATGATCAGCATAGTTCATACCACCACCAACCTTTAGCGCGTCCGTCTTCCCGCAGCCCCTGCGACGTTGACCATCTCCATCTTTAGTCATCTCTGCCAGTTTGGTGTATGGAGTGTGAATGTTTGGTTGTTTTGATCTGCATTTCTCTTATTGATGATTTGGAACTTTTTTGTGGTTATTGATGGTTTACATTACTTCTTCTGAAAAGCGTTATCTTTTGACCATCAAGAACAGGTTTTTAGTTTTGTTTTCATCAATAATTTTATACTTTATTTATATCTTACATATTTTATATCTTACATATTTTATATTATTACTTGTGTCTCCTATTAGAATCTAAGTTCTGGGCAAGTAGGGGTTGCTTTGTTATTTTGTGTTTGTATCCCAGTGTCTAGCACAGTGCCTGGTATGCAGCAGGTGCTTAATAGGTACTTGTGGAATGATTGAATTCTGTATTTGTCTCAGATGTGAGACTTTTATCAGTAGTATTCGAACCCTCGAGGTTTTGAAAGAGGTTCAGTCCCTCATGTAACCGTCCGTTGTCCTTCACAGGCTGTCCTCATCACCTGGACCAAGCGCTTTAAAGCCAGTGGTGTGGAGGGATCAGATGTGGTCCAGCTGCTCAACAAAGCTATCAAGAAACGAGGGGTAACTACTCTCTGACATTTGGGTGCCAGAGGATTAATTACCACCATGGGAGGGGTTTCTAGTACGAGTGGAGATGTTTTCCTGGTGTATCTCGGTCAGGGCACTTGGGCAAGGTTGGAGGGCAGAGGCGGTCTCAAGGTCCGGAGTCCAGATGGTCAGGCAGAACGGAAATGCCAGTGAGTCTGACCCTGGGATGCCCAGTGTCTGGCCTCTCGGTCGGTGATCACATATCCCTGATTCTCTGCACTGAGAGAAAAAAGGCGCTCCAGACCTTTTAGGCTGTGGCGCATTGCAGTATACCATCTTGGTATTTACCAGATTAAGTCCAAGCCTAGATGATTGAGTCAGCGTGTTTTCCCCTAATTTGCTTAGTATCCCAGTGAGAACAAAACCAGCAATGGCAGTAGAGAAGGGACAGATTCTTCTCTTGGGTGCCTGCCTTCCCATGGCTTCTCTTCATTCTGTCTCTCCATCTGTGCGATAGCCACGCTTCTTGGTTGGGTCTGTCCCACAGTGGCTCCTGAAGGTGACACCTTGTTTCTGTCCCCAGGATTATGAAGCCAACATCGTGGCTGTCGTGAATGACACCGTGGGGACGATGATGACCTGTGCCTTCGACGACCAGCAGTGCGAAGTGGGCCTGATCATTGGTAAGGTTGCGGCCTGGCTTGTCCCTGGGTCGGGGCAGCCGCTGGCTTCTGTCTGCCGTCCTCGGGTCCAGCCTCCCGGTGTTGTCTCTTCAAGGTACCGGCACCAACGCCTGCTACATGGAAGAGATGCGGCACATCGACGTAGTGGAAGGAGATGAGGGGCGCATGTGCATCAACACGGAGTGGGGGGCCTTCGGGGATGATGGCAGCCTCAGTGACTTTCGCACGGAGTTTGACAAGGAGATCGACCGGGGATCCCTTAACCCTGGGAAGCAGCTGTGAGTCCCCCCGCTGTTCATGCCTGCCTTAGGGGGGCCTTGACATCAAGAGGTCAGGGCTCGGGGAGGGGAGAAAACGAGGCAGGCCGTAGCTTCAGGAAGAGCCAGGAGCCTCAACGTTTACTCGCTGTGGGTCATGCGGCGGCTGATCCCGTCTCTGGGCCTCAGTTTCCCCATCTGTGGAATGGCAGCTAACATCTCTCTAAGCACTAAATCTGTGTGTCTGTGAACCTTGATCTGTGACTTGCCCAAGGACGTACAGGTGTTAAGTATGAGAAGCGGCTTCAAATCCTGCAAATTTGAAGCTGTGTTTCCACTGCCTTTCTATGTGGGGTAAATATGTTGTCAGAATAACAGAGGCTCTGAGGCCTCTATGACCTCATCTGACCCTCAGAACAACCCTATGTGAGAGGTGCTGTCATATCATCCCATTCTCCAGGTGAAGAAACTGAGGCTCACAGCTCATCTGAGCCCAGGATCACAGAGAATTAACGTTGGAAGGGACCCTATGGGCTGTTTAGGCCAACTCCTTCATTTTACAGATGAGGAAACTGAGGCCCAGAGAAGAGAAAAGGGGCCTGCTCAAAGTCACCCAGAGGTAGTAATTATCAGAGGTGAGTCCTGTAGCAAATCAGCGTCAGGTAGGATTTGAACCATGGTCTTCCTCACTCCGGGTCCAATGGTGTATCCATTATACCAGGCCATCTTACGTGTTTGCATTGGCATGAGAACTGTTGTCCAGGTGTGGAAAGGGCAGAAATCTGTGAGGCATTGTAAGTAGGGGTAGGGAGTCATTCACACATTTAGCAAAAACACTCTTGTGGAGCGCCTTCGGGGCTGGGGGGACACAAAGTGAGGGTCCTGCCCCTCTTCTGCCTGCTTTCCGTCTCACAACATGGGCATAGAATGCTAAGATAAGGCAGCCTCTGGTGAGCAGTCTCACAATGACTGCCCGTTCTAGCAGAATTTGGGAGTGATGGGGGTGGTAACCAGGGAAATGGGCCCGAGCCTGGTGACTACTTTTGGGGTCCGGATCTGTGATTTCCTTGGTTTAGGGAACTCCCTCCACACACATCAGCAGCACATCTGGACTTAACGTCCTGGAGTCTGGTAAGTGACTGGCCCAGGGTCACCCAGCCAGCATGTGTCAGAGGTGGGCCCAGACCCCACTCCTTTCTGACTTGGAGGCCAGCTCTTGATCCAGTGGTCCAGGCCTTTTGTGTCTTGTTGGGAAGGTCATGTTTATCCAAACATGAGCCCATGGCGGCCCAGGGAAGTGTAGACATTGATGGGCTAGGGACTCTTGATTCACAGCTTTGTTCACTTTCAGTCGTCCTGGTGACTCGAGGCAGCTTCTGGCCCTGTGAGCGATGAGTCATCGTCTGGGCTGGCTCCGCACAGTGGGGCCTGTGTCCGAGGACGAGGACGCTGACAGAGGAACTCTCCACACCCAGTGTGCACAGTGATGAGGGCGCTGGACTTGGCCTGTTTCATGGGTTGCTGGTGGCCAAGAGCTGACCAGAGGTGGGGGTTGCCTTTGGCTCAGCAGTCCTTGTCTGTATACCAGAATGGAGTGTGGAGTTGGCCCTCTGGCCTTCCCTTGAAGACCTCCAGTAATGGGGAACTCACTACCTTTCAGGACTGCCTGTCCTACCTGGGGGTAGCTGTGATTTGCAGGAAGTGTTTCCTTATTTTAAACTGAGATCTTCCCCGGTGCAACTTCCTGGTCAGAGCCCTTAGTTCCAGCTTCTGGGGCCAAGGGGATTAAACCTAATTCCTCTTTCACACGGCATTCCTTCAGATACTTGAAGACAGCTATCACATCCTCCCTGAGTCTTTGGTTCTGCAGGCTAAGGTACTAAACATGCCCAGCACCTCCAACTGATCCCCTCATGTGGCAACATTTCCAGTTCCCCAAGAGCAGGGACCATGTTTTTGCCTTTCTTTGTATCTACAGTGTTAGCTTACTATAGTGCCTGGCACATAGTAGGCACTTAATAAATGCCCATTGACAGACTAGTCCTGTCCTCTGGTGCTCCCACCTGTCTGGCACATAGTAGGCACTTAATAAGTACTCATTGACAGACTGTTCCAGTCCTCTGGTGCTCCCACCTGTCTGGCACATAGTAGGCACTTAATAAATGCTCATTGACAGACCGTTCCTGTCCTCTGGTACTCCCATCTGTCAGTCCCCTTCCTAAAATATGACACACTAAGAATACTCCACCCTTGTGACATAATTAGGGCAGCGGCCCCTTCTTCCAAACACTGCTTCTGCTATTCTGAAACCCCTTCTTCTGCTCAGTGGGGCAGTACAGAGTCGAGAAGACTTGAGTTCAAATCCAGCTGCGGACACCTACTAGCCGAGTGACCTTGGGTGAGTCACTTAACCTCTGTCTGCCTCAGCTTCCTCATCTGTAAAATGAGGATGATAATAATAGGACCTACCACCTAGGCTTGTGGTGAGGATGAAATGAGATACTATTTGTGAAAGTATTTTGTAAGCCTTAAGGTACCATAGAAATGCTGGCAGGCATGATGAAAATGTCAGCCTCAAAGTGTTAGAGTCATAACTGACATTTCTATAGTACTGACCCCAAGCTTGATCCTCACAACTCTCTGAAGTAGGTGCTTTTTCATCGCCCCATTTTACAGATGAGGAAACTGAGGCCCAGAGAGAGTCAGTAATCTGCTTGTGCTCCCACCACCTAGTCAGTAGCCAAAGGTGAGAGTTCTCCTCAGCTCCCCAGCGTCCTGCACTCTATAAAGTTAGCTCTTCTTGGGGTTACCATATTATCATTCAACATTCCACTCCTGCTCTCGCTGGTTAGGTCCACGAGAACTAGGGCTTCCTTTACCCTCCTTTTCTTCACTCGAAACTGCCTTGTGGCCTCAGGAAGTTCCCTTAACCTCTATCCCCCTCAGTCAACACGTCTGGAAAATGGGGGGGAATAGTAATAGTGCTTATCTCCTGGTTGTTCTGAGGTCCAGCTAAAGCAGTGCACGTAATCAGCATTGCAGGTCTTAAATGGAGAAATGTCGACCATCCTTTCGTGATAAGCATTTATTAGGATATTTATATAAAGTAAATATTTAATAGTTAAGTTGTATTTCAACAATAGCTATTTTAAATCTTTCTAATAGGGATAAGGATTAGACCATCACTGGTGTGTGAAACTCCCTCTGCCCATAGGGGATCATCATAATATGTTGAATATTATTAAACTAAGTAACATTAGTAGTAAATAGAAGAAAAGCAAGATCCCCTGTTGTCCTCCAAGTGGGCCCTCACTAAACGATGCCCGGGGATGCAGAAGCACTTGCTTCTTTCTCCTTCCTCGATAAGGGGGTGTCTGGGCTGGGGTCTCCCATCAGTACCCATGCCAATACTTCTCACTGCCCTCAGTTTTCTGGGACACGCCCGTGGGCAGGTGAGATGATGCCCAGCTTCACCAGGGCATCTTCCGCCAGGCAGAGGGAGACACAAGCCTTGAGGCTGGCACGCCCTGGGAGCGGAGAGAAGATCACGCCCATTTTCTATTTGTATCATGCTTTAGAGTTTGTGGACATTTTAGAAGATGAGATTATAGGTTTGGAGCTGCAAGGCATTTGTGTAACCCTTCTCATTTAACATGGTTTTAATGTACCACCCTCTGGACTAATGAATCTAGTGAGCTAAGTACTGTCGGTATGATTTTCCCCATTTTGTAGATGATTAAACTGAGGTTCAATGCCCAGAGAGGTTAAGCAGCCTGCCCATAGTCACACAGTCACTAAGTGTCTGAGGTGGGATGTGCGGCCAGCTCTTCCCGGCTCTGGGTCCAAGGTGAATGTGCTGAGCCTGGGCCTTGGTAGGGCTGGAGATGCAGGGCAGGGCCGTGGCACAGGTTGGTTTGGGAGGCATGATCAGGGTCTCGGCCAGAACCTCAGGGCTCATGCAGGCAAGCCCATTCCTGTGGTGAGAGGGAACAATGAAAGCTGTGTTCCCACAGTGCCAGGTGTTGACAGAAGGGGAGAGGGCAGCTGCCAGGCAGGTCTGAGCTGCTCCCACCCGGTTCCAGCTCCGACGACAGAGCCTGCTCTAGGTTTGTTCCACTGCTTAGAGTGCCTGGGGTCTGTCTTAGCACTCCACAGCAGTTTTTGACCAAACCGTTTAAATATCTGAATCATTATTGCTTTTTTAAAAATCCTTTTCCATTTTATACATCACGTTTTCTGTTTTTTTTCTTAAACCTATGGTAGGGGGTGTATTCGGTGTGCTCCTAGATCTGTTGATATTGTGTGGATGGATACCGGTAAGGAACATCCATTATCCCTTACTATTTCCCATGGCAGGCCCATTTTTCCCTTTTCCGTATCCCCTGGGCATTTCTTCATCCATCACGAATTTCAGCCTCTTCCCACCCGCCATGCTCCACCCCATCTTCTTTGGGTGACTCACAACTTGAATTCTTTGGAGACTGGGAGGATCTGTGACCTGCAGTCAGGTAGCATCGCCAGAAGAATACCCTTCAAAAGAGGCGCCTTTGTGTCAAGGAGCGAGCTTGGGGTTGTTACAAGTTTTACTCGTTTTCTCAAAGACTGGGAGTCCGTTGTTCTCTTCCTGTTCATTGTTGGGCCTGGCTTGTTACACAGTGGGCTTTTGTCCAAGATGAATGCTCTGATAGACTAGCTCTATGGGATGTCATAGTCTGGATCACAGGCATTTCTCTATGTCTTCTCCTGCACGTACGTCGGGGCTGAAGCATTTTGAGTTCAACTTTGTTCTGCTTGACCCCTCCGGGTAGAACCAAGAGCAATGGGGGAAGTTACGAAGGAGCAGATGTAGGCTGGACATTAGGGAACACTTTCGAGAACTATCCAGAAGGGGAGTGGGCTGCCTTGGGAAACTTACATGTCCTTGGTTCCACGTTCATGGAGCAGGACCCACAAGATATGTGTTCCGCAGTCCTAGTGAGGGTGAGACTTGGCTACCCCTGATCGTTCGAGATTCCTAGGGGATTGGCCTCCTTGGACAGCATAGCCGTGAGCCGTCCATGGACAGTTCAGCATAGTGACTGGCCTGGTCCCTACAATTTTCTAGTTGGAGAATCCTTTGAGGTTTGCCCTTTTATTCCCTGCTTCAAGATCTGTGCCTCAGAATGACTCATCTTGGTTCTAGAGGACAAGTGATGAAATGTCAGTCAATAAGCAGTTATCAGTCATCTACTCTGTGCCAGGTATTGGGCTAGGTACTGGGGATGTAGAGGCAAAAAAAGAGAAATAATCCCTGACCATGAGAAGCTTACATTCCATTGGACTGACAATATATTTATAATATTGTATATTTAATATTGTCATATATGACAACATATTTATAAAACATAAATGTAATAGATACAAGGTGATTTTTTGGAAGGGGGAAAGGGACCTGGGAGTAAAATAAAGGCTTCATGTATTTTTAAAAATTAAATTTTTTAAAAATTTATTTAATTTTTTGATTAATAAGCATTTTCTCACCTCTTCTCTACAATGAAAAAAAAAAGAAAAAGAAAAACCAAAGTCTTGATAAATATGCATAGTCAAGCAAAACCGATTCTCATATTGGTCAAATATGTGTGTCTCGTTTTGTACCTGTAGCCCATTTCCTCTTGATGTTAGGAGGTAAATAGCATATTTCATCATCGGTCTTCTTGAGTCATGGTTGGTCATTGGAGAGATGAAAGTTCTTAAATTTTGTTCAAGGCTTCATGTAGAAGGTGGCACTTGAGTTGATTTTCACGGAAACTAGGAATTCTCAGAGGCAGAGATTAGGGAAAGCGTGTTCTAGTTCCAAGGCACATGGAGTGGAATGCTGTGTGTGAAGAACAATAAAGGACTGAGTGACTAGTTCATAGAGTGTGTGGAGGAGAATAATATCTACCAAGGAAAGCCAGGGACAGGCAGAAACTGGAGTTTCTGTTTGCTCCAAGAGGTAATAGGGAGTCAGTACCTTTCATTGAGTTAAGGAACGACATGGTCACTCAGTCCACAAACACTTGTTAAGCATGTCCTAGATTCCAGGCAAGGGAGGATACAAAGAAAGGGAAAAACTTGTCCCTGCCCTCAAGGAGGTCCCAGTCTAATGGGAGAGACAACATGCAAACAACTGTGTACAAGCAGGACATACACAGGATAGATTGGGGGTAGAATCAGAGAAAAGGCAGTAAGATTAAAGAGGACGAGGAAAGGCTCCCTATAGAAGGTGGGATTTTAGGTGGGACTTAAAGGAAGCCAGGGAGGACAGGAAGTGTAAATGAGGAAGGGGAGTGTTCCAAGCATAGGAGACAACCAGAGAAAAAATTCAGAGCCAAGAGATGGAGTGTCTTGTTCCTGGGACAGCCAGGAGGTCAGTGTCCCTGGATTGAAAAGTATATATCTGGGAATGAGGTATGAGAATACTGGAGAGGTGGGAGGGGACTGGGTTATGAATACCAAAAAGAGCATTTTGTATTTGTTCCTGGAGGCAATAGGGAGCCACTGAACTTTATTGAGTAGGAGGGGTGACATGGTCAGATCGGCATTTTAAGAAAGTCACAGGGGCAGCTGGGTGGTGCAGTGGATAGAGCTCTGGCCCTGGAGTCAGGAAGACCTGAGTTCAAATCTGGATTCAGACACTTGACACTTACTAACTGCGTGACCCTGGGCAAGTCACTTAACCCCATTACCTAGCCCAAAAAGAAGTCACATTAGTGGCTGAATAAAGGATGAATTGGAGTGAGGCAGGCAGATCCCCCAACAGGCTATGAGGGTCTGCACTAGAGTAGTGACAGCATCAGAGGAAAGAAAGGGGCATATTGAAAATATGTTGAAAAGGTGAAATCAGCAGGCTTTGGCAACAGCTTGGATATGGGGGATGAGAGATCGTGAGGAATACCAGGATGTCTCCTCAGTTTCAAGCTGCGGTGACTGGGAGGTTGAGGGAGGGTTTTGGGGAAAGTATAATTGTTTCATTTTTAGACATGTTGAGTTTAAGATGTCTATGAGATATCTCGTTTGAAATGTTCAATGAGTAGTTGGAGAAGCTGTTTTGAAGGTTAGGGCCAGATAAGTAAATCAGATCATCAGTATAGAGATGATAATTGAATCCATGGGAACTGATGCGGTCATTAAGTGAAATAGTATATAGGGAGAAGAGAAGAAGGTCCAGGAGAAAGCCTTGGAGAACACCTACAACTAGGGACCACGACATGGATAATGATTCAGCAGTAGAGACCGGAAAGGAGTGGTCAGATAAGTAAGAGGAGAACTGAGAGAGAGAAGGGTCATGAAAACCAAGACAGAAGAAAGTGTCAAGGAGAAGAGAGTGAGAGGTCAAAGAAGGAAGAATCTTAGGGAAAGACCGCCATGTTTGTTGATTATGGGACCACTGGTAAATTTGGAGACGGCAGTTTGAGTTTAGTGATGACGTGAGAAGCAAGATCTCAAAGAGATGGAACTTTGAGTAAGAGAAAGTGGAGGCATGAAGAGCAGAAGACTTTTTAAGCAATTAGCCTAAGAAAGGGAAGAGACAGAGAGAGGGATAATTGGAGTCAGGGTTGTTTTTTTTTCAGGTTGGGGGAAAATTGAATGTGTTTGAAGGTAGTGGAGGAGAACACGTAGAGAGGGAGAAGTTGAAGATTAGAGAGTGTGGGGGGACGATTGTGGGGAGCGTCAGCTGCAGAAGGTGGGAGGAAATGGGATTAATTACACACACTGGGTAAGTAGTTGGGCTTGGCAAGGACAAGGGCCACCTCTTCGTCAGAGACTGGAGTAAAGGAGGAGACTGTGGGGGCTGATCTTAAGAGAGAGCGAGCCGTAGAAAAGAGGTAGAGGAAGAGTTTTGAGCAAGTGGCCTATAATCTCTCAGTCAAGGCTGATACAGTCGGAGTTGAACCTGTGGGAGAGAAGGCCCAATGTAGGAACTTGAAAGAAGAGAAGGTGAGGTGGGGGCTCCCGGTGCAGTGTCGCACGCACTGTCAGACGCAGGTGTGTTTTGCTTACCTGTTTTTTGTTATGAGAGAGAATTCTGTGCGCTGATATTGGGAAGTAACGAGTATAAAAAACGAAAGATTGATCGACATAAATTTTTTTAGGAGGAGGACAGAAGCAAGACCTCATAAGCAACCAGGCCAGCCTTGGGGTCCGTTCCTGCCTCTGGGGCCTTGAGTGTCATCCCAGTTACGGAGGGGTGGAAGGGGGTCTGGTTCAGCCCTTGGCGAGTTATCAGCCACAGCCCTGGAGTGGGGACCAGGAGACCCGAGTTCGAGTAGTCCAGTTATTCACTAGTCGTGTAATCTTAGATTTTCCCTCTCTGGGCCTCAGTTTCCTTCTTCATAAAGTGAGTCCCTGGGGTCCCTTCTGAGGACTGGAGAATTAGAGCCCATCTAGTCTAAACCTATTCATTTTGCAGATGAGGAAACTGAGGCATAGAGAGTTGAGTGACTTCCCCAACATCACACAGGTAGAAAGGTGCAGACCTGGGCTTTGAACCCAGGTTCTGTGACTCTTGTGAACAGCAGTAAAAATAATAACTAACATTTATATGACACTTGGAGTTTTACACAGCAATGCATTTGCAAATTTGCAAATATGACCATTTGATCCTTATACCTGTGAGGTAGGTACTCTTATTATCTCCATTTTATAGATGAGGAAACAGGCACAGAGGTTAAGTGACTTGTCCAGGGTCACACAGCTAGTAAGCGTTTGCAGGAGGATTTGAACTCAGGTCTTCCTGATTCCAAGTCCAGTTCTCTAACCTCTGTGCCGTCTAGTGGTCTCAAATCTAGTGCTCTTACTGTCCCATGCTTCCTTATAAAATTCTAAATTTTGCTCTAAAATCTTATTGTCCTGTGGCCTGGAAAATGAAATTACCACCATTTTATATTGGTGGTGACCATGGCAGAGGATCTGGCCTGACACATAGTGGTCCAGCAGGCTCCATGTCCGGTTCCTGCCACCATATATTTTTTTTTTTTGGTGTGGTCTCTTTGGTATGGCCTGAGTGTGTTGTGTTTTCCTCCTCACAGGTTTGAGAAGATGGTCAGCGGCATGTACATAGGGGAGCTTGTCAGACTTATTATCGTGAAGATGGCGAAGGGTGGCCTCCTGTTTGAAGGGCGGATCACACCCGAGCTGCTCACCAGAGGGAAATTTGAAACCAAGGATGTATCAGCCATTGAGAAGTAGGTGACTCCTTCCTTTCCATCTCTGACTCTGCCATCCCGGAGCGCTCCAGCATTGTGTTGGAGGACAGAAGGGTGGGAATAATAGGAAGCTTCTCCTATTAACCATCTCTTGCTTCCTGGCCTTTTAACATTTTCTCCAAGAGATGTTCTTGTCTCCCATCTGCCTGTGGCCCTTGGGAAAGGGAGGATCAAGGTTCTTCCCAGAATAGAGCAGATGGGTCCTCTCTCCTGCCTGGTCTGTCCTCCACTGGTCCATTCAGAAGGTATCTTAGACTGGCCACAGCATCCAAATCACAGCACCACTGGCTACCGCAATTAGCTTCAAAGCTTCCCTTGACTGAGCCCTGAAAGAATGGGTTGGGGAGGGGCAGGGACAGTGCTGACATCAGCCGAGGGAGTGATGAGCCAGAAAGCAGATGGTTTGGGTGATGGAGCAAGGATTAAAAATCCTCAGGACTCAGATTCTTGAGCATTTCCCCCCAGAATTTCCTTTTAAGTGACTTGTTCAAAGCTCAACACAGAGGGGACTATAATTCTAGCCTTAAGCATTTTGCCTGGCAATCCAGCAGCTGCTTCTGAGTATTAAATAAGAAACCCAGGAATTCACTCTTCTTGTGTGCTGTGTTTGCTAGTCAACGTCTCTCCCCTTGAGGGCAAAACCGAGTGAAGGTTTCAAGAGTCTTAAGAGCGCTGAAAATTAGATATTGATGAGCCGGAGGGCGGCTGGAGCCTGGGGCCACAGACTGCACTCCCTCCCAAGGGATCTGTGGATAGACTTTGGGGGGAGCTGTGAATTGGGTGGTTGTTGTTTTAACGTGTTAATAGCTATGGTTCAGTATAATTGGTTTCCTTTGTAATCCTGTGTATTTTATTTGATGCAATTAAAAACATTCTAAGAAGGGTTCCATAGGCTTTACTAGACTGCCAAAAAAACAAAACCAGTGTCCATAATACCAAAAAAATGAAGTAAAGAACCCCTGATTCTATAGGACAGCACCAAGGATGGTGAGCAGCCTGCCGTACCAGAGTCAGTCAAGTGTTTGAAAGATTGTTAACAGAAAGAGAGAATGAACTTGTTCTTCTTGGCCCTAAAGGGCGGGCAGCACTAGAATAATGGGGGACATCAGAAGTTTGGGTTTGAGATCGTTGCTAACGACGAGAGCTGTCCCGGAGTGGAGCGGGCTGCCTTGGGTGGTGGTGAGTTTCCCCTCATTGGAGGCCTTCAAGCAAGGCTGGATGACCACTTTTCAGGGGTGAGGTTGAGACCAGATGAGGGTAGAGGCTGGACCAGGTGACCTCTGAGGTTCACTCCAACTGAAATTCTGGGAGCTGGAGCTTCAGGTAGCATCCCTGTTCTAACAGAGGACGCCAAGCGGACACTGGAATATCATTGGAATTTGGGGGTGGGTCGTCTACATTGGAACACCTGATTTCGTCAGTCACTGAAACTTTCGCTTACAGAGTGGGCTTGGCTACGTGCCAGCCTTTAGATGATAATAGTGGGGTGGGCCAAGACTGAGGTTGGGCATCTTTGTGGTTTTTCCATTTAACAAGCATTTATGAAGCACCTGCTGTAAGCCAGGCACTATGGTAGGAGCTGGAAATGCAAAGCAAGACAGTCCCTACCTTCAACAAGCTTACGTTTTATCGGGAGAGAAAAGAACGGATGCAGAGAAGTCAATATGAAGTCGCTCTCAATTGCCATCGGGATTTATCTGTCTTGGTCCCTCCTCTTGTCCTGAGTTTGCTTCTGCTTTTCCTTCCTTCTCTGTACAGGAAGGGGATTAGATTACGTGATCTCTGATGTCCCTTCTTGCTATCAGTCTATAATCATAAAAAATCCTAAAATCTTAACTTTTTTTTGCATTCTATATCCCTTTGGCAGTCTAGTGAAGTCTATGAACCTTCTCCGAATAACATGTTTAAATGCATAAGAAAAACTGTGTAAGATTATAAAGGAAATTGATTATACTGAAATAAAAATGTAACCTTCTTCCCCCATCCAAGTTTGTGGACCTTTTGAAATCTATCCACGGAGCCCTCTGGGGTCTTTGTACCCCAGGAGAAGAACCCCTGCTACAGTTTATCTGTTAGTAATCACTCATGGCTGGTCATGCTACTTCTTTGCTCCAGCCATATGCCCCAATTAATGTAGCGCTTTCCATCATCCAACATGGCGGGTCTTCCTTGTGGCCCTATCAGATTCTTGATTTTATTGTTGAGTCGTTTCCGTCGTGTCTGACTCTTCATGACCTCACTTGAGCTTTTGTTGGCAGAGATACTGGGGTTGTTGGCCATTTCCTTCTCCAGTTCATTTTACAGATGAGGAAACTGAGGCAAACAAGGTGAAGTGACTTCTCTGGGGTCACACGGCTAGTGTCTGAGACCAGATTTGAACTCAGGAAGATGAGTCTTCCTGACTCCAGGACTGGTGCTCTATCCACTGCACCATGCAGTTCCCCAGTTCCACGGTCAGTCACCTGTGTCTGACTCTGGGTAACTTGTGATCTCTTGTGTGACCCTGCCCTTCGTAGACCCTAATATGACTCTCTCACCTTATAGAACTAAGGAAGGCCTCCAAAGAGCCCAAGAAATCCTGACCAACCTGGGCTTGGAGCCGTCCCCTGAGGATTGCATCTCCGTCCAGCATGTGTGTGCCATCGTCTCACACCGGTCAGCCAACCTGGTGGCTGCCTTGCTGGCTGGCATCTTGGCTCGCCTGAAAGAAAACAAGGGCACGACGCGGCTGCGGACCACCGTGGGTGTTGACGGGACGCTTTACAAGTTTCATCCCCAGTGAGTCTTTCATCTCTGTGACTAATGCCTGATAAACCAAGCATTGCTTGTAGATGAGCTGATTGATTGATTGACTGATCGATCAGGCAGGCAGAACCTGAGGCAGAGGGGAGATCTGACGACAGTTGGGTCAGCGCCAGCCCCAGCAGATAGGAGATGGCCAAATGGACTCAGGTTAGAAAACTGACTCACAGAGAGGTCTTGCCATATGGGCATTGGTTGGAAGGACTGGGTATGTTGAGGTGAAAAGGGTAGGACTGTCCTGTTGAGTAGGGATTAGGTTTTAGAATTATAGAATGATAGATAATGGATTGTTAGAGCTAGAAGGAACTAGAAAAACCCTACTTCCACCTCTCCTCTTCCCTTTTTGGGGGAGGCAGTCTGGGTTATGTGACTTGCCCAGGGTCACACAGCTAGTAAGTGTCTGAGGCTGGATTTGAACTCAGGTCCTCCTGACACCAGGACCGGTATTCTATCCACTGCCACACCCTCTTTTTTACAGAGTGGGAAACTGAGGTCCAGCAGGTGAAGTGATTAGACCAGAGGTCAGAGACAGGATTCAAACCTGGTGTTCTTTTCAGCAGATCATGCTTCCCTCCTTAGCCCAAGAGAGCAGAAGTAGGAACAGTGGGTGAAACTGGCAAAGGGACAGATTTAAGCAGGTTTGAGGAAAGCCTTCCTAGCTATTCAAACATAGAGTGGTATTCCTTGGGAGGTAGTGAACTACCCTTTACCTGAAGGTCTTTAACCCACGAATAAATGAATTGATCATATGTAAAGTGATTTTTTAATGTGAATGCTAGCTCTTACTATTTTTATTATATTTAATAATAATTATTATTGAAAAACGAAAGGGGAAAACAGACTGGAAGAATTATTTTTCAGAGATGGGCTGGACTGGAGGGCTGCAAGGTCCCTTTCAACTCTGAAATTCCGCTTGGGAAAGATGCAGAGTGTGATTTGGAGGGACGTCCCAGGTCCTTGAGAAAGAATCCATTTTCTTAAGGGAGCTTGGATTCAGGCATCTGAGTCACCATCCTAAGGTCCTCCTGGGCCCCACCTCCTCATGACCCTTAGGGGTTCCTGTCTGCTTTCCCTTTTGCTTTTCCATGATGATGATGATGATGATGATGGTGCATTGGGATGTTTGTAAAGCACTTTACATATATATGGTTAATTCATTTTGATCCACAAAAGGTCTCACCAGTCATTTCCAGTCCTAAAGTCCTCTGCCAGTCCATGGTTCATTTCCTTCATGGCTTCTTTCCCCCCCCCCCCCCCATCCTCCTTACCACCTCCTTTTCTCCTTAACAAATTGTGATAGCTGATGTTTTTATACAAAGTTAGTTACATCTTGTTGAGTCTTTTCCGTTGTATCCAACTCTCCATGATCCCATTTGGGGTTTTCTTGGCAGAGATACTGGAGTGGTTTGCCATTTCCTTCTCTGGCTCATTTGGTAGATGAGGAAACTGAGGCAAACGGGGTGAATTATCTTGCCCAGGGTCACACAGCTAGTAAGCTGCTGAGGCTGCATTTGAACTCGGGTCCTCCTGACTCCAGGGCCAGCTGGCATCTCATCATGCCACCATACACCATCTCATTTAATCTTCGGGCAACCATGTGAAGCACACTTGTTCTGGGTCTTAGTTTGCTCATTTTATAGCTGAGAGGAAATTGAAGTTCAGAGTTAAGTGGCTCACCCACGGTATTCAAGTGACATGCTGAGTTAATTAAGTAACTTCTGGTTTTGTCCTGGTAATCCCACAAATACGGTAAGTCAGCCTCCTAGTCAACCTGTTACATTACACCTTTTGCGAGGTACGGGAAACCATCTCTCACCCTCCGTCATCTGTGTGAGCCTTCAGAGACCATCAGAGTGATGAGACACAGCTTTTATTCGGGCTCCAGGTACAAAGAGAAGCCCCATGCAAGAATGGGTTAGAAGTCACCTCCTGCTATCATCGTACACGGTAACAGTAATATTGTACGATGATCGGCTGTGAAGGCTTGGCTGCTCTGGTGAGGACGGTGACCCAAGACAATTCCATGGTGTCCAAGGACCCGTGATGAAAAATGCTGTCCACCCCAGAGAGGGAGCTGATAAGCTTTGAGAGCCAACAGAAGCATGATGTCTGTGGAAAGTGCTATCTAATCTGTAATGATAACAATAATAATAATAATAATAATAATAGCTAGCAGATGATGCTTTTAGGCGTGCAAAACGCCTGACGTGTGTCATCTCACAACAACCCTGTGAGCTAAGTGCTGTGATTTTCTCCACTTTTCCGGTGAGGAAACCACAAAAAATTCAGTGACTTACCCAGAGTCACACTGTTAGTAAATCACTGAGGCAGGAGACAGATTCAGGTCTTCCTGACTCCAGGTCCAGTGTTCTGTGCACTGTCCCTTTTCTCCATCCCCTCTTCCCCCAACACTCCTTATAAATGCAAAGTAGTATTACATGGTGGAGTGACCCAAAACTCTTGGTGTGGTTTTATCTTTACTACCTTAGAAGCTTTTTAAAACTTAAAAAAAAAAATCACCTTTGGGGTACCCTGTATAAACATTGAATGCAGATTAGGTTTGAAAAAATTTCCCCCGACATGGCCCCATTCTTCCTAAGTAGGCTCTGAATATTTCTTACGACATGGGGCAGAACCTATAAAACATGATCTCTGAGATCGCTGGTGCTTCTCTTTGCACCATGGCATGCGTGTGGGGTGATGGCGGTGGTGGAGTAGATAGACATGTGTGTAACTGGTCCCATGAATCTGACGACATCGTCCCCCCCCCCACACACAATTAGGTATTCCCGTCGATTCCACAAGACCCTGCGGCGCTTGGTTCCCGACTGCGACGTGCGTTTCATCCTCTCCGAGAGCGGGAGCGGCAAGGGGGCCGCCATGGTGACCGCCGTGGCCTATCGGCTGGCCGAGCAGCACAGGCAGATGGAGGAGATACTGGCCTCCTTCAAGCTCAGCACCGAGCAGCTGATGCAGGTGAAGGATAGGATGAGGATAGAGATGGATCGTGGGTTACAGAAGAAGACCAATGAATCAGCCACGGTGAAGATGCTGCCGTCCTTCGTCTGCGGCACCCCCGACGGGACCGGTGAGCTCCCCTGGGTGAGGGAGGGGACGTGGTCCCGCTTGCCCCTGTCACTTTCTGGGGGACCTGGAGTGAATCGTCTTCATTCTCCGAGAAGCGGCAACAGGCATCCCCATTCATCTTGTGAGTGCCCTTTAGAGAGGTCAGTGGGTCATCCCAGGGCCCTTCAGGTCTGAGGAAGGTCGAGACCACAGCTGAGGACGCTCACTCACACATGCATGAGGGAGCGCCATTGGAGCACCCTTTCTGCGATCTGAGCTTTCCTCTTGAAACCTTGAATGTTTCTGAGCGGGCAGCAGCCTGGTCATGACGATGCCCCAACACCCTTGCTTTCCAACATGCTTGCGCTTCTTGCTTCCTGACAGAGAATGGAGACTTCTTGGCCCTGGACCTTGGCGGCACAAACTTCCGGGTCCTGTTGGTGAAGATCCGCAGCGGGAAAAAGAGAAGTGTGGAAATGCACAACAAGATCTACGCCATCCCTGAGGAAGCGATGCAGGGCACCGGGGAGGAGGTGAGAGAGGGAGATGAGGGGGGCTTTCCTGGTGGAGTCAGGCCATGTTCATTCCCAGGGCTATGACACATACCTGAAGAGGCACCGACTGCCTCCTTCCAGGTGTGGGCTGATAGGTACCCACATGCTGTTAATAACATTTTAATCTGTTAATATTTCATTTAAATTAATATTTATTTAAGTGTATTTAATGATATTTAAATCTATTTCTGTTCTATTAAATCTATTAGTAATAATTCTATTAAATTTATTTCTTTGGAAAACTAACTAGTACCCCAGAGGACCTTAAGTGTCAGTGTTTTGCTGCAAAAACAACAATAAAAAAAATAGCTAGCATTTACATAGTGCCTTAAGAGTGTTTCAGCATAATAATAACAACAATAAAAAATAAAAATAGCTAGCAGTAATAAAAATAAAATAATAATAGTTAGAATTTAAATAGTGCTTTAGGATTTATAAAGCTCCTCCCATCAATCCTGGGAGATAGGTACCATTATTCTCCCTATTTTACAGATGAGGAAACTGAGGCAGACCAAGATTAAGTGACTTGCCCAGCTAGTAAGGTTGGATTTGAACTCAGGTCTTCCTGACTCCAAGTCTAATGCTCAGAAAGACTGTCCTGAAGGTCGTAGATTTAGATCTAAAAAGGACCGTAGAGGTCATTGAATCCAGGTGCCTCGCTTTCCAGATGAGGAAACTGAGGCTCAGACATGCCACGTGACTGTGTGAGTCAGGATTGGAGTATTGGAGTCCTGGGTTGGGGCTCGGTAGCCTGGCTTGGTCTGCGTAGGCTCTCCCTGGAAGAGTCACGTGTGGTTCTCTGCCTCTCTTCTCCCCCAGCTCTTTGACCACATCGTCTCCTGCATCTCTGACTTCCTGGATTACATGGGCATCAAGGGCGCCCGGCTGCCTCTAGGCTTCACCTTTTCCTTCCCCTGCCGACAGACAAGCCTGGATGGGGTGAGTTGTGCTGCATCCTGGGTCCGTGCTTTGACTCCCAGGGCGTGGGGGATAGAAGTCTGGCTCCTTGGGGCCCCTCCCTCTTAAACGAAGCCTGTACTTCTCCCATTCACGGATGCTCTGGGAGGCTCATTGGGCCGGCCAGCGCTGTGTTCCCTCAGTCCTATGGCAATGCTACGAAGCCTCCATCTCTCCCTCACTGGTCTGTGATGAGCATCAGTGGGGAAGCACCGTGAAAGCTGTGGGATTTTAAATACTTGAATCATTGGTGGTCGGCTTTTTTTTTTAAATACTTGTCCATTTTATAAATCATGTTTTCTGTGTTGTGAGTGGCCTGCGAGGACTCGTTCGCTAAAAACAAACTTTCTCTTTCCTTAGGGCATCTTGGTCACGTGGACTAAGGGATTCAATGCGTCTAACTGTGTAGGAAACGATGTGCCCACCTTGCTGAGAGAAGCAATTAAAAGGAGAGAGGTAACAGCTTTGACTTGGCTTACCCTCACCTGACTATTCCTCTGCTGCTGGGTGTTCGTGAGGCCCCACAGCCTGGACCCGAGTGGGGCAATTTCAGAGCTGGGCGCCTCCTCCGCACCCCAGCCTTGGAGAGGCTGGCACACAGTAGGTACTACATACGCGATTATTCCCTTCCTCTGCCTTCCAGGGCCAGGAGACGCTAAGTGACTTTGAGCAGGTTCACACAACCAGGATGGGGTAGACACGTATCCCCGACTCTGAGGCTGGCTCTTTGACAAACCACTGCCCCTGACAGCTTTAGCTGCTCAAACATTCTGTTTCTCTGTTTACCAATCTTTCAATAGTGAAATACATGGAATCATAAAATAGCAGGGTCGTGAGAGACCTTAGAACCCACGGTATTGGAGCTGGCCAGGGCCTCTCTTAGAACACTAAATATTGAAAATAGAAAGAAACTGAGAATTTGGAACCTAGAATATTACTAGATTCTAATAATGTTAGAACCTAAAGCTGAGAGGAACCTTAGAACGTTGAATGTCACAGAGTTCTTAAAGGAGTCCGTGGATCTCTTTCAGGGGGTCCGTGAACACGGATGGAGAAAAAAATGACAACTTTATTGTCACTCATCTCTAAAGTAATATTCGTTTTTTAAAATGTTGAGTTCCAAATTCTCTCCCTTCCTTCAGCCCTTCCCCCACTCATTGAGAAGGCAAGCAGTATGATGTCAATTATACATTTAGCATTTTTAAAATGTTGAGTTCTAAATTCTCTCCGTCCCTCCAGCTCCTCCTCCTCTCCTTCTCTTCCTCCCCTCCATTGAGAAGGAAAGCAGTATGATATCAGTGTGAAGTCATGCAAAGCCTCTTTCTATATTAGCCACGTTAGCCTTTCTTTCAATCAAGAAACAACATTATTTCTGAGTAGAGGTCCATGGGCTTCACCACTCTGCCCAAGGGGGCCAGGCCACACACCCCTGCTAGAGCTCAACCTCGTTATTTCATAGGTAGGGAAACTGAGGCCCAGGGGCCCTGCCTGAGGTCACATAGCATCAGAGACAGAATTTGAACCTGTGTTATCTGAATCTCAAGTTGGCGCTCTTTCCTGTACGGTGCATGGTACTCACATCCAAAGGAGGGTGACCATTGTGGTTAGAGGACTGGAGAACACACCATATGAAGTCAGTGAAGAGAGTGTGGGATTTTTAGTTTAGAGAAGGTCCCACCCGGAGTAAACGTACAGACAGGATTCAAACTCAGATCTTCTAGTGCCTTGGATTTATGGCCCACACTACCATTCCTCTTCCCTTTCTGAACTGCGATCCCCAGAACCAAACGCAGTTCTCCAGATGGGGTAAAACCAAAAGGCCAGTGAGTGTTTTACAGGCTCCTATTAAAACACAAAAATCAAAAAACCCGAGATCTGTGCTCTATCTGATCTCATCCCACATCCTGCTCTCTCCAAAGGAATTTGATCTGGATGTTGTGGCCTTGGTCAATGACACAGTGGGCACCATGATGACCTGTGCCTATGAAGAGCCGACTTGCGAAATTGGACTCATCGTAGGTGAGTCTCAGATGAGCTGTGGCTCCTGCGGGCCTGGTACCTCCTGGGGATTAGCATAGGAATTATTGCCAGCCTTGCTTATAGGCTGCAGACGTGTGTGGGGAGTCCCCATTCTGGGGTCCTTGGAAGTGTGCCCATAACCCTTCACTTGCCCCAAATAATGGCCCTTCAGTTGTTTGTAGGGTAGGATTCCTTTGTGTTTTCTCTTGGTATATTCAAAGGCACGTGGCCTCGAAGGGATATTTTATTAAACAGTTAGCTTCTGGTTGACCTAGAATCCCAGAGCCTGAGAATTGGAAGGATCCCCGGCGGCCACCCACCCAGCCATACACCAAAGGAATCCCTAGTACAGCACCCCGGCCTCTGTTTGAAGGTCTCTGGCAGGGGGTGGGGGGGAGGCCATCCTATTCTACTTTTTGGAGAGCTTTCACAGATAGGAAGTTTTTTCTGAACTTCAGCGTCTACACTGGCATCTCTCCGTCTTTGCCCATTGTTCTGTACTCCATGCTGAAGCAGAGTAAGTCTAACCCATCTTCTCCAGGAGACACATGCCAGTTCTTTCACTCAGTCCTTATCTGATGACACTTTTGTGTGGGATTGTTTTGTGGGATTGCAGGGATGGAGGGTATGTTAGTCCTGATGCTTGAAGTAAGGAGACGTGGGCCTGAGGACAGAGTATTGACCCTGGCGGTGGTCTAGAGAAACCTGGTGGTGGAGGGCAGTGGGGAAGGGGAGAGGGAAAAGGAGAGGCACTGTACTTTTTAACCGATATTGCCACATCTGATCCTCGCAGCAAGATTTTTTTAGTTGAGCAAATTGAGGTAAGCAGAGGTTAAATGCCTTGGTCAGGATCTCACAGCTAACAAGTGTCTGAAGCCAGGTTTGAGCTCAGGTCTTCCAGACTCCAGGCCAGGTTTGGCAGCCAAAAGCCGGCAGGAGATCATTATGTATGTGAGACCCGGGGAAAATAAGGTGCAGGAGCCCGAGGTGGGAGATAGCCTGAAAAGGGAGATGGGAAGCTGCTCGCCACTGACCAGACTTCATCCTTTGGCCAAAGGACACTACTTCTGCCTCCTGGCCTTTTGTGATGACCTTCTCTGCTCCATGTGGTTTATAAGGTCTCTTCTAAAGATCTGAATTTTAACGCCACTGTTGTGCTTACCTGGAGTATGTGTGCCGGGTTCAAGTTAAAAAGTTGATTGAAGATTTATCAAGTACTTACTCTGTATGGTTCCTTGGTTAGCTGGGAGAATGCCAGAAAGACCCTTGGGCAGACCTCATGGGGTGATTTTATGGGAAGGCACAGATGAGAGTTTACTGGGATGGGCGGGCATGGCGGGCTTGCTGTTTGCCACATTTTGCAGGGAATTCCCATGTCAGTGAGATCACGGACTCATTGGAGCACATTTATATTAGGGTCATTGATGTTGAGCTGGAAGGGGCCTCAGAGGTCATGTAGGGCAACACCTTGTTTTACAGATGAGGAAACTGAGGCCAGAGGGATGACGTGGGGTAACACCAGGTAGTCAGGTCAGAGGCAGGATTAGAACCAGGATTAGAACCACTGTACCGTGATGCCTGTTATATTAAGGAATATGGATTGGAATCCCATAGTTGAGTGTCATTCAGCATTTGTGAAGCAGCCTTCTTTCAGAATAGCAGAATGTAAGCTTCGTGAGATCAAGGCCTGTTTTTGTTTTATCTTTGTAAACCTAGCACCTGGAATACAACCCTGCCCATAATGCTGGTTACAAGGCCCTTTGCTTGGTTCTAAGACTATCAGTAAAAGGCCTTACCTATAATAGGTGCTTAATAAATGCTTACTGAGGGGCAGCTAGGTGGCACAGTGGATAGAGCACTGGCCCTGGAGTCAGGAGGACCTGAGTTCAAATTCGGCCTCTGACACTGCTGTGTCACCCTGGGCAAGTCATTTAACCCCGATTGCCTCACAAAAAAAAAAAAAAATGTTTGCTGAAGATAATTAAACATTTATCAAATGCCTTCTGGCCCTGGAGTCAGGAAGACCTGAATTTAAACCCAGCCTCAGACACTTGACACTTACTAGCTGTGTGACCCTGGGCAAGTCACCTAACCCCAATTGCCTCACCAATAAAAAAGAAAGTGATTGGCGTGAGTCACAAACACCCAGAAGGAAAGCCAGGGGTCCCCCTGCCCTTCCCCAACCCCCCCCCTTAACAGTCCAGGCCTCAGCGAGACATTTCCAGGGCCCCGCCCTGCTGCTCAGCCACTTGACCACACAGCCAGGGCTAGGATTTTTTTTTCAATTCCTGTAGATAAAGCTGAGGATCCTCCATAGAAATAACCTTCCTTTGGGGTCGTTTTCCTTCTTTTGCAAAACTCTTCCCCCTTGTCTGGGACTGGGTCTAAAAATGCCGAGGTAGGGTGATGAGGCAGATTTGGGGCCCAGTGTGGTTTGCCTTCCTGCCCAAAAAAAACACACCCAGCCCCGGAAAGGGCAGCTGGGTCAGAGGCTCCCTGGGAAGTGAGTCACAGGTGAAGGGGAGCTCTTGACAGCAAGAGCTGAAGCCAGGAACCCTGAGTCACTTTCTAGGAGAGTAGGGACTTCGGGGCCATCTTCTGTACAGGAGAAGTGGAAGGGACCCGGGAAGTCCTCATTTTACAGATGAGGAAACTGAGGCAGGCAGGCAAAGAGCCTGGCCAGGGTCACACATCTAGTCAGTGTGGAGGCAGGGTTTAAACCCACCTTCTCCTCCACAAGAATCTCTCCCAGGACATGCCTGACAGACAGGTGGCCCTCGGGGGTCCAGGAAAGGCAGTGTTACCCCACAGACCCTCAGGCCATTGGTGCTGTCTCCAGCAGGTGCAGCCTGCCCTGGGCAGAGTCCAGCTCAGCCTTCCTAGACTGCTCTCTCCCGTCCTTGAGTGGGGGGCGCATTCCTTCCTCCAACACATTATTCGCTTTTTAAAAATGTTCCTGATGCCCCTCCCTTCCTTCCCTTCCCCTGAAGGCCATCCTTGTTGCAGAGAATAAATATGACAGAAAGAGGGGGGGAGGCGGGGAACAGAACAACCAAATGAACAGAATGACCGAGGCTGATGGTCTGTGTAGAGCTCCTCACCCATGGCGCCCCACCTCCACCTTCCCTCTGAGATCGCCTCTATCTCCTGCATAGGTCTCGTAAACGCACATAGTGGTTTGAAGGTGGTGTCCCCCCCCCTTAGACGTAAGGTCCTTGAGGACAGGGCCTATTTTTGCCTTTCTTTGTATCCCCAGCACTGAGCTCAGTAGGCTGGCACACAGCGGGTGCTTAATAAATGCTTATTGACTTGTTGATTTCTGCAGACAAGGACAAGAATCTGCAGATTCTCCCGTCTCTTCTTCTGGGCTATGCTTGCCTTCTCTGCTGGGTTGATTTTTATTGATTTCTCTGTTGTGTGCTGATTCCCTGGCTCTGCTTTTGCAAATACTGATTTTGAATGTCTGTTCTCCGGGCGTTAGATGAGCAGGACCCCTAATCGGCACTCTGGGGGCCAGAGAGGCTGAGATTCCAGCGTTTGTTGCAGAGCAATCCTGTTACTGTAGCATCAATGACCATTCCCTGTCTGGACAGACAACACCCATCTGGCCTTTCTCATTTTCTGCTGTTCTTCTACTCCGACCTCCCTTGGATTTTCTGTAGAAAATCTCTCCCAAAGTGGGTCCCAGGCCCTCCTAGGCCCTTTAACATTTTGTGGCCTTCAAAGTATAAAAGCTTCCAAAGGTTTGCCCACAAAACTGTCAGTCATTGCCATCTCAGTATGAATTAGGTTCTTTCCTCCTTAAGATGCTCTTCCTGAGGGAATAAAAATCTTTATGATGGCGGCAAGGAAGAGAGTTTTAGCATACAGGGAATTGCTGAAAGTCATGCCCAGGGTCACACAGGTAGTAAGTGGCGCAGGCTGGATTTGAACCTGAGCCCTTTGACTTCAAACTTTATTTTTTCTGTAACACCAGGTCGTAAAGTTGCAAAGCCATGACCTCCATAGAGACAAAGAATCCTGAGAATCCAGCCTCAGACACTTGACACTTACTAGCTGTGTGACCCTGGGCGAGTCACTTAACCCTGATTACCTCACCAAAAAAAACAAAACAAAACAAAACAAAAAAACAAAGAATCCTGAGCACAGAAAGTGCTGGATTTGGGGCCAGAGAACCTGGTTCTGGTTCCTGCTTCTCCTTACTCCCTGTGTGACGTTGGGCATATCATGTTTCCTCTTCTGTAAGATGGGGGGGGCGAGGCAAACTTTCCAGCCCTAAGTCTGTAGTTGTATGAAACCATCGGTCTTATCATTCGCCTCCTTTGTCCAATTTAGGGACCGGCAGCAATGCATGTTATATGGAAGAGATGAAGAATATTGAGATGGTGGAGGGCAACGAGGGACGGATGTGCATCAACATGGAGTGGGGTGCCTTTGGGGACAATGGATGCCTGGACGACATTAGGACTGAATTTGACAAAATCGTGGATGATTATTCCCTCAATCCTAACAAGCAAAGGTATTTGTCTAGGGTTCAGTGAGATGCAGAATGGGCTTGAGAGAAGAAGGGAATTGTCCCATAAAGGGAAGGAGGGAGGAAGGAGGGAAAGAAAGAGGGAAGGAGGAGGGAAGGGAGGAAAGAAGAAAAGAAGGAAGGAAAGAAAGAAAAGAGAAAGGAATGAAGAAAAGGAAGGGAGGAAGGAGAGGAGGGAGGAAGGAAAGGAGGGAGGAAGGAAGGAAAGAAGGAAAGGAGAGAGGAAGGAAGGAGAGCAGGAGGGAAGGAAAGAAAGAAGGAGGGAAGGGAGGAAAGAAGAAAGGAAGGAAGGAAAGGAGGGAGGAAGGAAAGAAAGAGGAAAGGGAGGAAAGAAGAAAAGAAGGAAAGGAGGAGGGAAGGAAAGAAAGAGGGAAGGAGGAGGGAAGAGAGGAAAGAAGAAAAGAAGGAAGGAAAGAAAGAAAAGAGAAAGGAATGAAGAAAAGGAAGGGAGGAAGGAGAGGAGGGAGGAAGGAAGGAAAGAAGGAAAGAGAGGAAGGAAGGAGAGCAGGAGGGAAGGAAAGAAAGAAGGAGGGAAGGGAGGAAAGAAGAAAGGAAGGAAGGAAAGGAGGGAGGAAGGAAAGAAAGAGGAAAGGGAGGAAAGAAGAAAAGGAAAGGAGAAAGGAAGGAAGGAAAGGAGGAGGGAAGGAAAGAAAGAGGGAAGGAGGAGGGAAGGAAGGAAAGGAGAAAGGAAGGAGAGGAAGAGGGAAGGAAAGAAAGAGGGAAGGAAGGAAGGAAAGAAAGGAGAAAGGAAGGAAGGGGGAAGGGAGCAAGGGAAGGAAGCAAAGAAAGGCAACAGGGAAGGTGGATGTGTTTAAGAGTCTACTATGTGCCAAGCACTGTGCTAAGTGCTGGGGATACAAATAGAAAAGGCTGGATAGCCCCTCCCCTCAGGAAAATCACGCTCCAACTGGGGTGACAACATGTAAGAAGGTTCATGAGGGTTCAGCCCTAGGGGAGGTGGCAAAGCCCCAGGGCTCTTAGGTTGGAACATCAGTAGAGTGCAGGTAACAGTGTGGGAGGGCCTCAGAGAAAGCCTGGGGGGCTATCGGAAGCCCTTGGAAAGGGCTGGTGGTCTTCCACCTTACTGGAAGGAATAGAGTTGGTGACTCCTATCTCATACAGGAGTGAACATTTTACAGATGAAGGAGTGGATGCTCAGAAAAGACTTAGCCAAGGACACATGACTAGTCAGTGTCGGAGAAAGCATTTGAACCCAGGGCTCAGACTTTCCTGCCTGCTGCCCAACGATACCCCTTGTTAATTTTTTGGTCACATGCTGTCACGAGACAGCTTTTTGGCTTTCTGATCTCTGTGGCTTCCCAGAGTCTCCCTAGGACTTTTGTCCATTCCATTTGGAAACTCCAGCCTCTGGGTCCCAGTAACCTTTTAGCTACCATTGGAGTGAAGCCCCAGATGCTAGGGTATGTACCGCAGATGAGTTTTAAGTTCTTTATTTTTACTGGAAAACCCAGAATGTTTTGTGGGAAAGAGATGAGAGGTTCTAAGGACAGGTTTGAAAGGAGTAAGGTCCTGTTGGAGGGAGGCGAGGGCAGTGTGAGATGACTGGGATCCTGGCTTCAAATCCCAGCTCCGTCCCGTACTCCCTGTGTGACCTTGTGCAAACCATGCCCTTTCTCTGGGCCTCGGTTTCCTCCGAGGTGCCTTTGAGCTGTGGAGAAAGGACCCAAACCCCTCTACAAAGTCCCTCACAAGTCTCCCGGCTACCATCCACACCACTCTGCCAGGACAGTAACACCCTTTTATAACACTACCGGAGTAGAAGGATGGCTGACCAGCTTCCTTCCTGACGTCATTGCTTTTCTGTTTAACTGGTAGTGTCCAAGCAACTCAGATGCTTGGGGAACCATGTTGGAAGTCGTTGGCGCCACCTGGTGGTTTTAGGCTGCTATCGCGGGACCTGGCCCTGGGACCTTGCTTATTAGTAAAGGCTGTTGAGTGATGTCATCAGCTAGGAAGGCTTCCTCTCGGAGCTCTTCTGTAGCCGATGTAGGGTGACCTCCAGGTATGGAAGAGGAGAGATGATCATGGGATCACGCACTCAGAGAGAGCGCCATCTTACTTACAGGCCATCGTATCTATCGTCTATCTAGAGAACTGACCTTGGAGAGTTCTCTGGCACAACTCCCTTGTTTTACAGATGAGGAAACTGAGGCCCAGAAAAGTAACTCGCCCAAGGTCACATAGGTATCCCATGTCAGAGGTGGGATTTGAACCCAGCTCCTCCAAATCCAAATCCAAATCCAACTTGAACCCAACTGTTGAACACATGATATGTGATGATAGCATGGGGTCATAGTCAACACTCCATCGGCTTCATCATTCACTTCTTCCCCATGGTCCTTAGCCTTAGCCTTCTTTTAAAGGGGGAGGTTTACCCAGACAGTCTCTGAGATTGCTTCCAGGTCTAATAGTCAATGAGTTGGGGCAGCTAGGTGGCACAGTGGATAGAGCACCGGCCATAAAGTCAGGAGGACCTGTGTTCAGATCCGGCCTCAGCCACATAACACTCACTAGCTGTGTGACCCTGGGCAAGTCACTTAACCCCAGTTGCCTAAAAAAAAAAATTAGTCAATGAGTCCCTGGGTTTGTCTGTCAGACTAGGTCTAATGCCCAAGGGTATGGCCTGGGCAGCTGGTCAAGCAGCAGGCTGTGTCCTGAGCCACAGGGGACACAATATTCTGTTTTGTGCTCTCATTCTCGTTAAGTGAGAGCATTGCCTGGGATTGCTCTATCTTTACCCTTATCGATCCTAAAAAGCCTGCCTGCATGGGGTAGTGCAGAGGGCTGTGGACTTATGGGTTTAAATTCCACCTCAGACAGTTACTACCTGGGTGACCCTGTGTATATCACTTCTCTTATGTGCCTCAGTTTCCTCATCTGTAAAACAAGAGGGTTGGACTCAGTGGCTTGAAATCTCTTCCGATCTCATTCTCTCCTCTGACAGTAAGGATCAGACTTGGAGGAGAGGGCCCTGGCTTTTCTCTTTGGTCAGTTTCCTTTCTCTTTGGACGCCATATTTTTCTGGAAATTCCCCTGGCTGTCTCCCCATTGACCTGCCTCTTACGTGGGGAGGAGGGCTGGTGGGGATGTTGGCAGAGCCCTCCGCAATGCTCTGAGGACGCCTGCAGTGTAGGATCCCATGGAGGCTGGGAGACCATTGTTGGTTTCTTCTCAACGGGACCTCTCTCCCCTCTCTGTTTCAGGTTTGAGAAGATGATTAGTGGCATGTACCTAGGAGAGATCGTCCGAAACATTTTAATCGACTTCACTCGAAAGGGTTTCCTGTTCCGAGGTCAGATCTCTGAAACCTTGAAAACCCGGGGAATCTTTAAGACCAAATTCCTATCACAGATTGAAAGGTAAGTGAGCAAGAGGGAGAATCTGGGCTCCTAACCTTTTTCCTTAGGTACCGTGTTAAATCTCAGGCAAGTCACCATTGTGCCTCAGTGACTGCATCTGTAAAGTGGGGATAGTCATCTGGACTTTTCCCTAACTGTAGGCAAGGCTCAGCCTTACTTGACTCCTCCCTTCTCCCCTCCCCCCACAAAATATTTTGCATCTTTAAGCCTATTGTTTTTCTCCAGTTGAATGAAAACTGCTTGTCCTTGAGGAAGGATTCGTTTCAATTTTATTCTGTCCTCAGCACATGGCAGGTGCTTATTAAATGCTTGTTGAATTGAATTTCCACCCTTACAAGGGTATACGTACTTGGAAAACATGAAAATAGAAACCAGTGTGGTATTAATAGTGTCAAGAACTCTGGTCCTGGGTTCAAATCCTGCCTTTATGACGTTGATCAACTTACTTTGGTTTTCTGGGCCTCAGTTTCTTTTTCTGTAAAGAGAGGGAGCTTGGACTAGGTGTCTGAGGTCCCTTCTGGCTCTAGCTTTCTCATGTAAGAACTTCGCTAGACCTCAGTTTTTCTGTCTGTAAAACGAGGAAGTGGGACCAGACGGCCTGTGGGGTCCCTGCTGGTGCAACATCTGTGCTCGATGCAGACGCTCTGCGAAGAACGTCGTTGCACCGAGGCAGACTTCACCCCCACCTCTCTCCCCATCACAAGCGTAGGGCTCTGTCTGTCTCTGCGATTCTCGCCGGCATCTTTGGGGACTGCTCGGAGAGCCGTGTCTCCGGATGACTGACCGCCTTGCCTTGCCCTGCCTTCCTGCAGTGACCGGTTAGCCCTGCTCCAGGTCCGAACGATCCTGCAGGATCTGGGCCTGAACAGCACCTGCGACGACAGCATCCTCGTCAAGATGGTCTGCGGGATCGTGTCCAGGAGGGCTGCCCAGCTCTGCGGGGCTGGGATGGCGGCCGTGGTGCAGAAGATCAAGGAGAACAGGGGCCTGAAAACGCTGAATGTGGCCGTGGGAGTCGACGGGACGCTCTATAAACTCCATCCTCAGTGAGTCTTACCCCGACGCACTTCCTGGGAGGCCGGGCTCAGCCTCATCGGTCCCTGGTGGTGGTTCGGTCTTGTGAGTGGTGTCCGACTCTCCGTGACCCATGGGGGGTTTTCCTGGCAAAGATGCTGGACTGGTTTGCCATTTCCTTCTCCAGCCCATTTTACAGGTGCCCCTACTGGGGCATTGGCTCATGGCCGGTCTTCTCGCCCTAGACCGTCCTCTCCTTGAGAATTCCTGTCTCCTTCAAGGGCAGTATCATCATCTCAGTCAAAGTTGGTATTTGTAAGGCACAGTGCTTGGTACACAGTAGGGGCTTAATAAGTGCTTGTTCCCTCCCCTCGGCATCCTCGGGATCATCCCTGACCGCTGCTTCTTCACTTCTGTCTTGAGTTCATTTGCCATGTCCTAGAGATTCTATTTCCACAACTTTCCCATTTCCTCTTCTTTCCCTGCCCCCCTCCTCCTCCTCTTCCTCTTCTTGTCCCTTTCTTCTCCCCCTCCCCCCCTCCTCCCCTCCTTGTCCTCCACCTCCTCTTCCTCGCTATCATTTCTGATGCTTTTTAGTTTTGCAAAGTGCTTTCCTTGTCGTCTTGTTTGACCCTCCCAGCCACCCTGGGAGGGGGGAGCTGCTGTGATTATCCCCTTTTCACAGGTGAGAAGGGCGAGGGACAGCAGCTGTGACTTGGCCAGGGTCCCCCAGTGTCAGAGGCTTTTCCTGATTCCAAGTCCCCTGTGCCAAGCTGCTTTCACAAGGGTTCTTAGCAGGACGCTCCCCCTCTGCCCACCCTTCTCAGGCTGTACAACCTGATCCCCTCAGAAACTAAGAAAGCTGTCCAAGGCAGGGAAGGACCAGCAGGAGGATTCGAACCCAAGTTCTCAGGACAGAAGCAGGGTCCTTTGCTCCGTAAGAGTCGGGGGTTCCAGCGGGGCCGGCGAATGTGGCCGACGTCCCCCTCCACCGTCCCCCTCTCTCCTCTCTTGTAGCTTCTCCAGGGTCATGCATCAGACAGTGAGCGAGCTGGCCCCCGACTGTAAGGTGAAATTCCTCCTCTCAGAAGATGGCAGTGGGAAGGGAGCGGCGCTCATCTCGGCCGTCGGGGTGAGGCTGCGGGAGGCCAAGGCCAAGGCCAGCTAAGAGCCCTGCCCTCGGAGGAGCCCCTGCCCTTCCCCGCCCCCGTCTCTGCACTCTCCATCTTCCTTCCTTGGGTAGCCTGAACTGAACGCGCACCAGACCCTGCCAATGTGTGGAGCCCTGTACGCCTCAAGGCATAAAGAACTTGGGTGCAAAATTGAGTGTGTGCTGTGGATGATCTCTCTCACCCCGGGAGCTCCATCCTTCCCAGCCCGCCCTGCCACCTTCTTCCCTCCCCCGTCACTGTTCTGCATGTCTTCATTTCCATCGGGTTGTCTGATTTCCACACGTGAGTTAGTGAAGTCAGTTCCTAATTTATATAGTCATCTCAGCTATTTATTGATTTGACGTGAAAGGTCCAGCCGCCCAGTACTTCCCTGCTGCCCTCTCTGTGAAATGTATTATCATGACAAATTGTGTCTAGACACCCACTTCTGCCCCGGAGTCACCCAGAAACCAGAGGGCTCCTTCCGTCCTGGTAGCAAAAGCCAGCTGGCTCACTTCTGAAGGTCCCCGTTGGGAAGGGGCTGTGCTGGGCTGTGAGGGTCCGGTGATCACCCGCTGCATGTGATGGTCTAGCTCTGTGTGTGTGTGTATATGTGTGTGTGTGTGTGTGTGTATGTGTGTCGGAGGAAGGGTCTGGAAAGCACCTCACGTCAGTTCTTCTCTCCCATCCCCTGGAGGCTCTCTCTTGCCTCCCGTCTTCTCCTTGGACTGCCTCATTGTTTTCATGGGCCGTGTCTTGTGTGACTCTGTGAACCGTTCCATTCCAACCGTCGGAGCCTTGGTGGGGCTGATCACGGGTGTGGGAGGGGGTCTACTTCTCAAAGTGTGGCCAAACCAAAATGTTTTGTGGATTCCCGTGAATTTGGGGGGTTCTGGTTTTTCGGGCATGGATATATGGGTCGTGTCCCTAAGCCCACCCTTCTCCCTGCCCTGCCCAGAAGGACTTGATGTGGTGTGACTGTGTGTTGTGTTGTCTACCCTTCCATGTTGTGTGTGATGAGGGTCGCTCCCTTTCCGTGCCTAGTACTGTATCTCAGCAGTCATCCTGCCAGCTCCCCTCACTCTGCCAGTAGTCTCCAACCAGAGTGTCCCCCCTTCCCATCCCTGATGCTAGGGAATGAGATGGAGAGGCACTCTCACTGGCCTCCTCACCTCTCCTGGCTGGGGCCCAGAGGAAGCCACCTAAAATCCTAGGATGATGGATGTGAAACTCGAAGGGACTCAGAAGTGAAAGTGACATCTCAGAGGCAGAAACAGGATTAGAACCCAGAGCTGGTGTTCTTTACACTGGACCGTATAGAATTGGAGATGGGAGGGCCAGGTTTGAATTTCATGAGGAGACGGGGAGAACCGTTCTTCTGCCTGCCACCTCCAAACCAAGGCCCTTCTCTCTCTTTGGCCCAAACTGAGTAGATTCTCTCCTGCCCGGTTGTTCCCAACCAGATACTAACGATCCTTTGAACCGGCGTGCGCCCTGCCAGGGCCAGGTGAAGTTGGCAGGCTCTGTTTTTACCTCTTCCTGTTCATGAATTACTCCCTCCCATGGGAGGAATTCACCTGGCCCCAACCCCCAACTCCCCTCTGCCCCCAAGAGTCTCAGCCTCTGGCTTCCTTGTCCCCAGCCACCATCTTGAATTCCCTCCCCTCCTCCTTCATGGATGCCGTGTCCATCTGTGTCCTGACGCACTGTGATTGACTGAATGTTGTGAGGCGCCATGTTTGTCTGCTTTGCTGTTCTTGGTGTGTCCACCTTCAGGGACTGCATGCCCACTTGGTTAGGACAGGGAGGAAGTCCGACCGTGCTCACGGGACAGTGATATTTGTGGAGAAAACAGACAAACATCATTAAAATTTTTTGCTGTCGGCTCAATGGTGTGGAATCATTCTTTCTGGAAAATCTTGGGAATGAAGGTGTGGATCTCAGAAGGAGAAGAGATTTTTTTCGTTGAACTCATCAAGACCCGGTGTCACTTGGAAACTGGGGATGGCTGTTACGGTCTTGTGGGGAACCCAATTATGGTCTCATCCGTGCGGGCTGAAGGTCATGGAGCCCGTGAGCCGGCCCTCACCTGCGCACAGTGGGTGGGCAGGCTCCTGAGGTTTGGTTGTCTTCTGAGGCTCTGTCTAGAGGGGACCCCTGAGTCAATGCAGGACCTGTGCGGGTTTCTAACCGACGCCCTTCCTGTTCTTGGCTTACTCATTGATAAGTCTGGTGAGGAACAGTGGCTTGAGCACAGACCCTAGTAAAAATGAGCTGCTCGTGGGTGCCATCTACCTGGTCTCCGCTCCCCTGATTCTCCCCGGCAGAGGTCCAGAATCCACGTCTGCCTTCCCCGAGGTACGTACTCATAAGCACCTAGATTTAGAGTTGGAGGGACCATAGAATCCACCAGACCCAATCTTACAAGAGAGGACACTAAGGCCCAGGGTAAGTGATCTGCTCAAGGTGACGTTTGAAGCGTGCTGAGGACAGAACTTGAATTCAGGTCTCGGCACTTATCGCATGAGCCATCTTGTGGAGATGTGTGAGGGCAAGCTAAGTATGGTTAACTATACTTAGCCAGGGCCATAGCAGACTATGTGTCAGTCCCATCGAACCACCTTGACACCACTCCTTTACCCCCTCTTGATCCCTTGCTTTTCATTTCCAGCTTTGGCCACTATAAACCAGTCAACACGACCGTTATTTCTGGAAAGAAAGTTCTGTTTACTCTGTAGCTCCACTCATAACTATTATCACTATTATTATTCCCATTTTACAGATAGGGAAACTGAGGCTGGCAGAAGCTATATGGCTTGCTGAGGGTCTTGGGTCTTCCTAACTCAGGCCAGCCCTCCATCCACAGTGTCACGAGCCCTTCAGAGCACCAGATTCTAGCAGACCCCTACAAGTTCACCAGGCACAACATTTCTCGGCCCCCTTGGGACCATTCTGCGGTGTCCCGCTTACTGGGTCCGGAGGATTTCCAGAATCTTATAGCTCTGAAGGGACCTCAGAAGCCATGTTATCTAGCAAGGCCCCTCGGCAGCCTGCTCCTCACCACTGGTCTCGTCCGGCCTGCCCTTGCCCTCTATGCCCTTGTGTGCAGACCATTCTACTTCTGAATGGCCGTGATGGTTTAGTAGTTTGTCTTTAAATCTGCCCAGGATTGGCTTCTCTACAGATAGGACCCTGGGTCTGGAGGCAGGAGGTAAATCTTAGAGGCAATTTAAGCCACACATTTCCCATTTTACAGATGAGAAAACTGAGACCTTTAGAGATTAAGGGATGTCCACCAAGGTCACATAGGTAGCAAGCATGATTGACAGTGGAATGTCATGGGACTTTTCTTAGCAGCAAATATCTATACCCAGGGCCTAGAAAGAAGGGGGAAGGGGGAAGAAAGAAGTGTTTACTGTATATAGCACCTACTATGTGCTGGGCAGCTAAGCGATTTATAAATATCTCCTCACTCACACGACTAACAGCATGGGAGAATCTACTTATGTCCTTTACCAAAAATCGACTTGAGTATCTGTAGGAGCAGGCTTGTCAAATGTGCCTTTTAAATAGTAAGTTGATTGCTTACGCTGTCTTCCCCACATCCCAGGGAAGGGAGGGAGCATAGCACAGCACAGCCCAGTGAAGAGCCCTGGGTTCAAGTCCTGCCTCTGACATGTGCTGCTGTGTGAGTCGAGGCAAGCCGCTGAACCTCTCTGGGCTCTCAAAGACTAAGCTAAGTCCCCTCACCGTGGGTTCCCTATGCCAGTGGTGTCAAACCCACATAGAAAGTAGGGGCCACCGGTATAGAAGGATCCCTGCTGGTCACAGTGACTTGAAAAACTACATATTAACGTCATCTATGTTCTGCTATGTATTTATTTTGTGAAATATTATTCAATTATATTTTAATCTGGGTCAGGCCACACTTGGGAGACTTGCGAGTCACATGCAGGCGTATTTGACAGCCCTGCCCTACACCGGTGAAATTACAGGTTTGGTCCAAAGAAAATTAAAATGACAAAGAAATAAAGATCACTGGGAACACTGGTTTGTGGTCAGATCCAGAGCATCCTCAGAGAGCTCTCCCTGCCTCCCAGTTTCTCTGGGAATATGGTGTGAAAAAGTAGAGCCCTGACCTGGGGCCTAGGAGACCTCGTTCAAGTCCAGGGCTAACTTGATCTGTGGCCTGTCTCAAAGGTCCCTTCCAGCTCTGACTTCCTGATCTTATCATCTCATTACACTTGTATCACAAACTTTTTATGAGTTAAATTTTTAAAAAATTAATCAAAATCTGTCTTCTTTCCCTCCCACCTCCCCACATGCAAAAGAAAGAAAACCAGAGCTCTAGTAATAAATTGTATAATCAAGCAAAATAATTTTGTCATGTACTTTTCATACCCTATAGTTACATGTTTTAATTAAATTTTTTAAAGATTCATTTCTCCCCCTTCCCTTTTCCCTCCTCCCCCTGACAAAGCAAAAAAGAACCCCCCCCCCCATTACAAACATGTATGCCAAGCAAACACATTTCCAAATTGGCTCTGTCCAAAACAATTATGCCTCAATCTTCCCGGAGTCCATCAGCCCTCACCTGGAGGTGGATAGCGTGTCTCGTCACAAGACTCTGGAGTTGTGGTAGGTCATTGTGTGGATCACCGTCGCTAATTCATTCACTGATCATCCTTGCACTATCACGGTTACTGTAGCAATTGTCGTCCTGGTTCTGCTCACTTCACTTTGCATCAGTTAATATAAGTCTTTCCAGGTTTTTCTGAAACCATCCCTTCCGTCATTTCGCATAGCACAATTAAGATTCCATTACATTCATAAACCATAACTACTTCCCATGGATGGCATGCATTTATTTTTACCCTTACTAGATTGTAGTCTCCTTGAAGGCAGGAGCCATGCCATTTCTCTTTCCATCTGAGCAGAGATTTTGTAGGATTTAGAACTGGCCAATTCAACTTCCTCATTGTACAGTTGGGGAAACGGCCGAGAGAGGTGAAGTAACTCAGCCAATGTCGCACAGTAAGTAAATGGCAGAGCCCCAATTCAAGCCACCGGGCCACAGTTTCCTCATTGTGAAGTGAGGATAATGAGACACACCTTATTTAGCATGCAAAGTTCTTGTAACAATCAAATACTTTTAGAGAGGAGGAAGTCCTTGATTATCTCCAGGAGAGAGGCCATCACTGACTTTATGATTTAGGAGGGTTCCTTGTCTTTGAAGCATCTTACTCCCATTTTGCAGAGGACAAGACTGAGTCCCAAACAAGTGAGGTGACTTACCCCAAGTCACACAAGTGATGTGAGAGAGGAGTTTCAACTCATATTCTGATGAGCACATTTTCCATTATACCCTACTTTGAGTATTTTAACCAGAGGTGGTGGGAACCTCAAAGACATGGAGACCTCTGTGGCTCAGGGCCATTTGAGCAGAATAAGTTGCTACAAGGCTATCTAATAAAGATACAACTACCCCTGGGAAGGGTATTAAACTGTTTTCTGGGGTTGAGCTAGCTGACGGCTCACTCACAGAAGCATGGATCTTCTTTTATACATATCTTACCTATCTTCAAGGTGTTAGTAAGGTGAGCACTTATTTTATTTTTAAAAAGTTTATACCAATTACATGCAAAAACAATTTTCAACATGCCTTTTCAAAATTTTGAGTTCCAAATTCTCTCCCTCCCTCACCACCCTCTCATCGAGAAGGCAAGCAATTTGATATAGGTTATACATGTGTAGTCATGCGGAACATATTTCCATATTAGTCATGTTATAACAGAAAACATAGACCAAAAAAAAAAAAGTTTAAAAAGTATGTTTCAATCTGCATTCAGACTCCATCAGTTCTTTGCCTGGAGGTGGATGACATTTTTCATCATAAGTCCTTGGGCATTGTCTTGGATTGTTGTATTGCTGAGAATAGCTGAGTCATTCACAGTTGATCATCTTACAATATTGCTGTTACTGTGTACAACATTAGGAGGGCACTTTATTAAAAATTAAAGTGATATATAAATATCAGTTGATATTCTCCGGCCTGGTTTTGGTGACTGCTTTGTTTTCTTTTGGTTTGGTTTTTTGTCCTTTTTTTTTTTTTTTTAAGCACAAACCTAATTTTATAGAATTCCAAGGCTTGAACTAGCCTGTTTTTTGCTTTTCACTAGACAGTTAAGGAATGAATTTCCAAACTGGGTATTGCTGTTTCCAAGGGAGGAATTGGGGGTAGAATAAAGGAGAAGGGATTCCATTTGTGACTCCAGCAAGGCAAAGAGGAAGGGATGGCCATCAGAGTTCACTAGAAAGCTGGTACCCAAGGTCTCCCTCCTACTCATTGGGGGTTTCTGGGAAAGATGCTTTTCTGACAGAGAGTGACATTTTGGTATGGTTTTTGTGAATGGTCATCAACAGTGACTGGCTCTGGAAGAGTTTTAGCTTGTCTTCATCAGGCGGGGTGACCCAGGGGCAGCAGCGAAAGGCAAGTCGGAAACCAGAGCGGAACCTAGGGAGTGGAACGTTCTGATGACTCCAGCATTCGGGTTAATGGAGACTGGCCCTGAAGAGCAGCGGGTAGGTAAAGCCATCCGCTCCCATCAATGCTCCATCAGGGCCCAAAGGTGACCCTGGCTTTGCCATTTGAGCCAAGCTTGGGAAGTGTAGATACCAAGATACCCTGGCTTCAGGTACTGCCAGGGTGACAGATTATACCTGCTATCTCATTACCCACCCAGCTTAGCATAATGCCTGGTACTTAGTTACTAATAAATGCTATTCACTGACTGAGTAGCTTAGCTTAGAGAGAGGCTTATCTCCAGCATCTCGGCCACTAGCTGATGAATCCTTTGGCAGCAGAGACCCATGAAAGAGATAAAAATCCAAAATGGCCTCCATCCCCATGTAGCGCCCCCTTCTACTTTTGTAATTGTGGTGCCATGATGGCAGAAAGTGGGCAGAGGTTACTGAGAAACACACAATTTTAGATTGTTGATAAATACTGCCTGTTGGTGCCCTATGTCAAGTGATGAGCAAGTTGACATGTTACGGTGGGAACTGAACCACGTGGATACTGAACTGCTGACGGATGGAAGGATGGCTCCCAGGTTCCCCCGGGAGAGGCCAGTTAAAGGGGCTAGCTGGAAATTGCTTTCACCATGTGCCCCAGGAAGCGTCATTTCATGGGATAGTTGGTCACGGTGAATGTCAGCACAAAGACCACCGTCTGGATAATTGGAGCAGAGATGGAGCATTCATCTATAGAGAACCTGGCAACATCATCCAAGTCAAGTCAACATATAGCTTGGTTCTATTACTTATGGAGGGGACTATAAAATTAAGGTAGAAAGTAGAGTTCTAGATTTTTTTTTTTTTTACCAAACCTGTCTTTTTTTTTTTTTTTTTGAGTATGGGGAGCTGCTATAGGTACAGATTGGCACCTCCTCTGTGCCTTCTGGAGAGTTCCTTAGGATACTACCAAAAAGTTAAGTCACTTGTCATGCAAGGCAGGAATCAAACCCAGGTCTTCTCAATTTGGGGGTTTCTATCTACCATGTAGATTAAGAAAAAAATCTCAAAAGTTTATATCCTATTCAGAAACTCAGTTTCTTCACCTGTAAGATGGGGATAATAAAATCTAGAGTACTTACCTGCAAGTATATAATGAATTCTATCTTTGTGAAGTCAGAGATATAGTAAGGTCTTGAGCATCACTCCCCAAAATGAAATTGACTATATCTTAACAGACAGGAAACAGTTGGTTGCGAAGGGAAAATCATTTCCAAGACATTTGTCTGTGTGTGCAGTCAGACCATTAATTAGTAAGAGTAAAGGTCAAGATTGGCATCAAGTTGGAAGGATGAGGAAAGATGGCATTGCACGAGATGGGACTGTAGAGGACATTTATTCCAACCCCCTTGGGTTAGAGATGAGAAAATGGAGTCCTGAAGACATGGAGTGGTTTGCTCAGTGGCACACAGCAAGTGTCAGAGTGTGGGATGTGAATGCAGCCCTTCTGACTCCACATTCACTGCCCATTCCACTATTGGTTTCTCCTCCCCCCTCCTCCTCCCTCCCAGAATTGGGGGATTGTGGGTACAGAGTCCTGCATATACAGCAAGCTCACAAACTGATTTTTTTTCCTCTTTTTAAAAATCTTCATCCCAAGGGATGGCTTACTGGGATACATTCAGGAATAAAGGTGATGAGAGGAAAAAAGATCAATAAAAGTCAAATGTTTAAAAAAAAAAAAACAAATACTGGAGTCAGAGTGAGGAGATATCTATGCCTGAATCTTGATAACTTCCAGTGTGGCCATGGTCGGGTCACTCTGTCTCTGCCTCAATTTCCTTCATCTGTAAAATGAGTGTGATGCTTGTAGCCCTTGTAGTAATGACCTCACCAGGTAGTTACGAGGGTCAAATGAGAGAATGTGTGTGAAGCACTAATGAGCTGCGACTGATTATTATTGTTATTATCATGATCGCTGTTGTAGAGGGCCTTGAAGGCCAAGCTGAAGAGCCTGGGCTTGGGCTATGGCAAACTCACCTTTGGTTGAGGCAGCAGTAGATGATGGGGTTGTACATGGTGGAGCTCATGGCGAGCCAGAAGAGGGCCAGGTAGACCTGCTGGATAAACTTGTGGCAATAGATGTCCTGACGAAAGGTGCCCAGGATGAAGTAAAGATGGTAGGGGAGCCAGCAGATGGCAAAAGTCACCATCACCACCACCATGGTCTTCACGAACTGCTGGGAGGAGGGAGAAAGAGCCTGGGATCATTAGGCCAGCCGCCACATTGTGCTTTAGGGTTCTGGGAAAGCCCATTCTCTGGGACTGAGAATGTACGCCCCTGCCCTCAGGCAGCTTCTAGTCTATTTGGAGGGACATGGCACTGTATTCACCCGCAAAGGACCATAGCACAATTCCAGGGCATCTTTGAAACGAGTTTGTCCTGGAGGAGGCCAGAGACAGGCGCCACAGTGAGCATGCGATGGCTGTCTTCAAGGATTAGCTTGAGCTCGGCCCATCTTGGTGCCGTCAGTACGTTTCAGCGCCTTTTATGCGGTCAGCAGAGATGTGTATACCTCGGCTCACCCTCCCTTATTGGGGCATCTAGAGATGCCTCATCCTGTTTCATCCGCAGATGCTTCTTCCCTCCCTTTCCTCGGTCCTGCCCTCAAGAATCATTATTATAGCTGGCATTTACACAAGGTTTGCAAAGTGCTTTCCATATATAATCTCATTCAAGTGAGGGAGGTATTCCTGGCATAATTCTCCCCATTTTACAGGTGAGTATATTGAAGCTGAGAGACATTAAGTGATTTACTTCTGGTCCCCTGGCTAGTACATGTCAGAGGAGGAGAATCCAAACCCAGGTCTGCCTGACTTGAAGCCCAGCCCTGGATCCACTATACCATAGCTAACACCTTCCATGGCACCCCTTCCTTCCCAGACTGGAGATGCTTACGTCTCTTCTGATCCCTGCAATGATGCCCTCCCTCCCTAAAGTACTAGATAGAGCACTTGGCCTGGAGTCAGGAAGACCTGAGTTCAAATCTGGCCTCAGACACTTCTTAGCTGTGTGACCTTTGGCAAGTCACTTAAAATCTGACTGCCTCAGTTTCTTCATACCTAAATGGGGATAATAATAGCACTTATCTCTTCTAGGATTATTGAGAGGATAAAATGAGATAGTATTTCTAAAGCACTTGGCACAAAGTAGGTATTAATAAATGCTTGTTCCCCCCCACATATGTAAATGATGTCTCCTCTGACAGAATGCATTTTCTTTCTCTTTTTTCCTTCCTTCCTTTCTTTTTCCTTTCCTTTCTTTCTTTCCTTCCTTCCTTCTTTCTTTCTTTCCTTTCTTTCTCTCTCTTTCTTTCTTTCCTTCCTTCCTTCTTTCTTTCTTTTTCCTTCCTTCCTTCCTTCCTTCCTTTCTTCCTTTCTTCCTTCCTTCCTTCCTTCCTTTCTTTCTTTCTTTCTTTCTTTCTTTCTTTCTATCTTTCTTTCTTTCTTTCTATCTTTCTTTCTTTCTTTCCTTCTTTCCTTCCTTCCTTCTTCCTTCCTTCCATCCTTCTTTCCTTTCCTTCTTTCCCTTTGTATTCTCCAAACACAGTGTAATGTGTGATATGTTTGTTGTTGTTCAGTCATTTCAGTCATGTCCATTTAGGCTTTTCTTGGCAAAGATACTGAAATGGTTTGCTCATTTTACAGATGAGGAAACTGAGGCAAACAGGGTGAAGTGACTTGCTCAGGGCCACACAGCGAGTAAGTGTCTAAGCCTAGATTTGAACTCAGGTCTTCCTGACTCTACCTGGTGCTCTATCCACTGAGTCACCTAGCTGTCTGCCTGGTTCACAGTAGGTGCTTAATAAATGCTGTTTGGTTGGTTAAAGAGTTGCCATGCCAGGAAAATATATCTCCTTGCAGCCAAGCTGGTGATGGGCCTCTCAGAACTTGTCCAGCTGGTCCTCAGACGATGGGCACGCAGGCTGTTACAAAGTCCAAACCTTAAGATATTTCAGCTTGGCGTTGGAGCTAATGACAGTTCAGTTGGCCTAACCTTGAGAACCCAAGGTTACCTCTAGGCCATTGGGAAAGGCCCCACCATATTCTAGAGTTTCTAAACCTACTTTTGATGCCTACTACCTGTGAGAAAAGAACTTAAGCAAAGTATTTAACCTCACTGGGCCTCGGTTTCCTCCTCTGTAAAATGAGGGGGTTAGACTCAGAGGCCTCTGAGGTGTCTTCTATCTTATCTATAATTCTCTGGCCTCAGTGGCAGGTCAGCCATAAAGAGTTATGGGCATGGATGGGTTCCTGTAAACCCCGCATGTTCTGTAGATAAAAGCAGCCCAGCGCAGGGCCCAGAATGGCCTGTGTTGGGCACTGGGTTCTAGGCTCCGCAGGAAGCCTGGCCTCACCCTCTTTTTTGCTGCAATGTGTCTCGGCCTCTGCTGGAGCCTGACCAGCTGGTGTCCAGGGACGACCTGTCTCCAGAGGGTGACGCCCATGATGCTGTACGTGAAAAACATCACCACCAGTGGCAAGAAGTAAGTCAGGATAATCACAGTGAGATGGTACCTGGGGAGGGAACAGGAAGGCGGGCTCGGGTCACAAGGGCCATAGTGGAATCCAAGGACCCTTGAACTGGACAGGAGTCCACCCTGTCCCTGACTGAGAATCCCCTTCTCTGCACCCTCCCCAGCCACTGATCTGGCCTTTCTAGGCTTCTTATGCCGTCTTCTCCACATAATCTATGCTCCAGCTGTACTGCCCCACTTTCTGCGCCTTGAGCCCCATCTCCAGCCTCTGTATTGGCTGTGTCCCCTACGCCTGGAATGTACTTTCTCCCCTCCCTTCCCAGCTTCCCTGGCTTTCTTCAGGACTCAGCTTAAATTACTGGAGCTGCTTTTTTCTTTCTTTGCATCCCCAATGCTCAGCACACTGCCTGACATTGTAAACAATAAATGCTTGTTAACTTGACTTACCCGGGAGAGATGAAAGTCTCTGCCCCAGGGCCTGCTGGACTGACCTAGCAGGGCACAGCTGGGCCTCCCAGCCTCACTGCACTTTGCTCTAGGGGGCTGTTTCTGAGAGCACAATTACCGTGAACTTGGGAAATGCAAAAAGAGGCACATTTGTCCTTGCTGTTTCCTCTTCCCTTATAATGCCTGTGATGGTCACCTATGTGGCTTACCTGGCTATAGTTTCCCAGGGGTTATTACTAGGCTGAAAGTGGACGTAGTTCTAGATGTCATCCCCCCACTTTATACAGGGGGAAACTGAGTCTCAGAAAGAGACACTCTATAGGTTTTGCAGCTTGGAAGGATCTCAGACATCATTCTCCCTAACCCCGCCCTATTACATCTGAGGAAATCGAGGCCCAGAGAGTGCAAGGGACTTTGCCCAAGGCTATATAGTGAGTAGCAGAATCAGGCTTGGGATCATAGAGGTGAGATTCCAACCCAGATCTCGTGGCCCCAAATGTAAGGCTCCCTTCTCTTCAGGAGAGAAGTCTTGTCAAACCCACACCCCAAGCAGGAATCCCCCTCATTTCATAGAGGCCTGGGGGAAAGCACCTTTTTTATAACACAAGGTTGCCTCTCAGCCACGGTGGGGGTCTGGGCAAGGTCACCCCTCCCCCGCTGTCTCCAGATTGGTGTGCCCCGCCCCTGCATCCCCATCCCTCATCTTTCAGCTGTCCTGGGCGATGGTAGGATGGCTGTGCAGGGTAAAGAAACTCTGCCCCCTAGTGGCCAGAGCTCACTAAGTGAGCCCTTAGAGGGTCCGATCTCAGAGCGGACTTCACAGTCCTACTCATACCTGAGCAGGAATTCCTCTGCAACATCCTGGAAGAGGAGGAAGGCAGTGTGGGAAAGTGGAAAGGGCAGAGGACCCAGTTCCAATCCTCCCTCTGATGCTTACTACCTGTGTGACCTTGGGCAAGTCACCACCTCTCTGGGCCTCAGTTTCCATCTGCCAAGGAGGCGGTTGGTCTAGATGGCCCGTGACCTCCCTTCTAGCCCTCAATCTAGGCTCCTGAGTGGTCCTGCAGCCCCCTGTTGAATGCTTACAGTAAGGGAAACTCACTACCTGTCGAAATAGCCAGTTTGACTTTTGTTCAGCCCTCATTTTTGGCAAGTTTTTCTTTGCAGGAAGCAATTTCTCTACAACTTCTATCCACGCTCTTGATTTTGTCCTGTCTAACCCTAACTCCTGTTCCCCACGACAGTCCCTCAGATACTTGAAGACAGCTCTCATGTTCTCTATCCCCAAATCCTGCTTTCTCCAGGCTAAATATTCCCAGTTCCTCCTTAGAGGTAAAAATCCCCCATAGACACCCACTGTCCACTTCACACTTTCCTGAGACATAGGACTCCCAATTTATATCGAGTAACCCTCATACCCTCTAATTGGGTTTTAAAATTCTACTTGTTTTTCTCTTCACTATTTGATTATAAATCGTGTGAGGGCAAAGACTCTGGCTTCCCTGGGACAGAAGTCCTTAGGGCCCAATACAGCCTCTGGCTCCCAGCAGGCACCCAGGAAAGGTGTGGGCAAAGGGACTCGTGTCTTGGATAACCTGGTCATCCAGGGCCAGGCACACCGGTGAGCCAGGAGGGGTCACCACAATCAAAAGCACAGTCAAACAACGAATCAGTTTAACGTGCATCCCTCAGGTACCTGCTCTGTGCTGGGCGTATGCTAGGTGATGGGGATGGAGAAAATGAAAGTCCGTCCTCAGAGAGCTTACATTCTATTGTTAGATACTACCCATGCAAAACAAATAAGATATTTATATGTTAGAATCACGGGAGAGGATTCATAAAGGAGGTGGCACAGAAGCTGAGCGTTGGAAGAAACTAAGGATTCTAAGAGAGAAATGAGGACGAGGCGTCCCTGGGCCCAGGCCTGGACACAGACACGCATGTGTGTGGCATGGCCATGAGTGCCAACTTGGTTCCCATCAGGCGTGTTCCTGGGCGTGATGCCTAATAAGGCTAGAAAGGTAAACTGGAGCCAGGCTGTGAAGGGTTTTAAGGGTCAAACGGAGGCATTTAAACCCAATTCTGGAGGCATTAGGGATGCCAACCCCATCCTTACACAAGGACCTTGCCCTTGCCGTCCTCCGGCCAGTCCACGATGCACTTGGTGACCCCCTCGTCCACAGTGACCGTGGAGTAGAAAAACTGAGGGAAGGCCAGTCCGGAGGCCACCAGCCAGATGGCCCCAATGACGACCTTGGTGTGGAGGGTCGACAGCCGGGGTTGGAAGGGATGGATGATAGCCATGTACCTGCAGAAGGAGGAGGACCATGGACAACCACTGGTAACTTGTGGGTGTTTTATTTATAGGCCTGGTTTTCACACGAACTTCCCCTCTCCCCCACCACCTTTGGTCCACCACCACAATGTGCCCCCTACACACAGCCCTGCCTTTCTGAGGACAGGGATAAGGACCTGGGAGGGGAGCTTAGAGGTCACCCGGTCCATCTTACAGGAGAGGAAACTGAGGCTCAGACAGAGGCCACCATGCCTCCTTTCCCTATCTTGGGTCTTCTCCTTGGGTCTGTGTCCCATTCCAAATAGGGCCTTGATCTTAGTTAGCTAGGTACTAACCCAGTGAAAGGACAGCTAGGTAGCACAGCAGGGAGAGCTTCAGTCCTGGACACAGGAAGGCCGGCCTCAGACACTTACTAGCTCTGTGACCCTGGGCAAGTCACTCAACCTTGTTTGCCTCAGTTTCCTTATCTGTAAAATGAACTGGAGAAGGAAAAGGCAAACCATTCCAGCATCTCTGCCAAGAAAATCCCAGATGGGGTCACGAAGAGTCAGACACGACTGAAAATGACTGAAAAGACCTTAAGGTTGAACCCCTTCCCAGGAGGTTTTCACAGGGGGATTCCACAGCCCTATAAAACCTACCACCCCAGACCCAAAGGAATTCATTTAATGGTGACATTTCAGATGCTAGGCCAGGATGTGTGAGGGATCTTACGAGACCATCTTGTCCAAACTCTTCATTCTACAGATTAAGAAACTGAAGCCCAGAGTGGGAAGTGACTTGTCCAAGGCAGCTAGGTAGTGCATTAACTACTACACAGGGCCTGGAGTCAGGAAGACCTGAGTTCAAATCCAGCCTCAGACACTCACTAGCTGTGTGCCCCTGGGCAAGTCACTGAAACCTCTGTCTGCCTCAGTCTCCTCAACTGTAAAATGAGAATCACAATAGTGCTCATCTCCTAGGACTATAGTAAGGATCAAATTGTAAAGGGCTTAGCCATGGTGCCTGGTACATAGTAGGTGCTTCAGTGGATTTGAAGTGGGGTTTTCAAATCTTACCAGTCCTTATCAAACCTAATCAGGTCTATTTCTGTCAACCCCTTCCGTGTATGAAAAGAAGGAAGGGATTTCACAGTTTCTGGCTCAGCTGAGAACAGGTCGCTAATGGACGGTATGTTAGCGCCCCCAAGTAACAGCCGCATTTCAACAGGGCCTGTCAGCAGCTTAACCCCCAGACCCAACTAGGCGGGGCCCAGAGTTCTGGGGCAGCTCTTGGAAGGCAGGTTCTGTGGGCTTTGGGAGGAGGAGAACTAGCAAGGCCTAGATGCAAAGGACTGTAGGAGTTAGAGCTGAAAGGAACCACAGGCATCATCTGGTCAATGACTCTCCCGAGGTCATACTCCTACTAAATACAGGGGCAGCATTTGAACCCAAGACCTCTAGGGCTCTTAGAAGAGAGTTTCCACTGTTTCTACAAGCCAGGCCTTTGCAGAGAATCCCCTTCACTTTCTCACTAGATCCTACATCAGCACTAAGGGCTGAGAATCATAGGCTCATACGTTCCAAACAGGAAGTATCCTTAGAGGTCATTTATTTTAACAGATGGGGAAACTGAGGCACAAAACAGCGAGAAATGACTTGCCCATGATCTCACAGGTCATAAGAAGCCAAGCTGGGTTCCAGCCTAGCCCCACTGACTCTGAATGCAATTCTCTGTCTGCCCTGGCTTCCCCGGAGCTCAGACTCTCACAACAAGCCTGCAAACACTGACCGCTCAAGGAAGGGAATTATAAACCAGCAAAAGCCTGGCTAATGTTTGGCCCCTGTCCAGGGCCCTTCTGCGGTTCTCAGGAAGGATCATGGAATCATTGACCTGAGAGGCCATCAATCCAACCTCCTCGTTTGGAAAATAAGGAAACTGAGGCACCAAGAGGTGAAATGATTTGTCCAGGGTCAATCAATCAATAAACACCTACTTAATAAGCACCTATTATGTGCTAGGCCCAGGGTACAGGTTTCAAGAAGCCTACGTTGTAACGGGCGAGACAACAAGTGTCCTGTTCTCAGCTCCTGTTAAATCCTGTGTCATGATCCTGTGTTCCCAAATGCATTTTGGAGATGCTCCCCCGTCTCCTTACCCCACCCCAGCCAAAAACCCAAGGCCGATACTGCAAGGCCCAAGATCCCTTTGGATTTGCAGGCAACCAAGTAATCCTGGTACTTCCCACCTCACAGGGTGGTTTCGGGGGAAGTACTTCTCAAATCTTAAAGCATTACCTAGATATGAGTTACTACTGCTTAGTGAGAACAATAGTAGCATTATTAATAATAACTATGTAGTACTTGGAGGTTTGTAAAGCACTTTGTATGTGTTTTTCATTTGATCCTCACACCAACCCTGTGAGGTAGGGGCTGTTATTATCCCCATTTTACAGATGAGGAAACTGAGGCTGGGAGAAGTCAAGAGATAATTTACCCAGGGTCACACAACCAGGAAATGTCCAAATCAGGATTTGAACTCAGGTCCTCCTGTCTTCAAGTCCAACACTCTGTCCACTGTACCACTTAACTGCCTACTTATTGTCAGAACCACAACTAGTGGCAGCAGTACAGGGTAGAGGAAGGGGTATATTCACCCAGGAGAGTATGGGGGAGGTAGAAGAACCACCTGGGAAATGAGAAGATTCTCAAGTTGCTGAAGGGAGGATAGTTTCCATGAAACAAGTGTTGTTTCAGGGGCAGGCTGGGCAGGGGAGAAAGCGCCTTCTAAATACCTCACCCTGGGACAAAGCGCTGATCACCCAACCCTAGTTATGGCTCTATTAATTATTATGCTGGGCTAACACAATCCACTGATAGGGGCTTCTTGCCCTTCATATCTTTTATTCCTTCCCTCCCCCACCCATCGGTTCTCGATCACTTGCCTGTCCACAGCAATGACCATCATGGAATAAATGCTCACGAACATCGCCATGACAGGGACGAAATTCTGGGAGTGGCAGAAGGCTTGGCCAAAGTACCAGATGTTGTGGCTGGCGTAGACAAAATTGAAGGTGACGTTGAAGGTGGCGATGCAGGTGTCAGCCAGGGCTAGGTTTACGATGAAATAGTTAGTCACTGTTCGCATCTTCTTGTGCGCCAGGATGATCCAGATGACGGTAATGTTGCCCGTGAGGGCCACCAGTATCAGGAAGAGGTAAGCCACGGCCCAGAGGGCTAGCTGCCATCCAGGCAGTGAAAATGCGGTGCTGGCTGTGGTGTTACTCTCAGAATCAGAGGAGCTGTTTCCATCAGTTGAGAGGATGCATGCCACCATGACTTCCAGGGGGATGGGGCTGAAGGACGAAAGGATTTGAAATCTCTTAGTTTTCCCCAGATTCTGTTTTATGGATTCGCTATGGAATGAAAACGTCTTTGATGGGCATACTTCTGTAAGAAGGTGGGTCTCAGAAGGCAGGGCCATGACCTTAGAAGTCATCCTGTCCCAAACCCTCATTTTTCCAGAGGAAACCTAGAGAAGGTGAGGGATTAACTCACCCAAGTCACCCAGGTGGTAATTACCAGAATCTGGACTAAACCCACTTTATAGGATACAAGCTAGAGCTAAAGGGGCCCCCCAGGCCAGCTAGCCCAACCCTCTTATTTTACAGATGAGGAAACTGAGGCCCAGAGAAGTTAAGGGACTTACCCAGGGATTCTTTCTTCTACTCCTGTTAGCTCCTTCAGCTCCTGACGGTGATTGTTTAAGGACAAGGATGGAAAATTTTCCTCAGCTCCTGTGGAATTCCAGGACCTCTGCTTAGGGTAGGAAATTTGGCAGAAGTTATCAGATGAGAATTTGAACCGACTCCCACTCTGATCCCCAGGATGGCTCGAAGGGCTGGCTGGTTCTTCCCCTCCTCTGGGGGTAGGGACTGTATTTGTGCCATCAGCTGTCTCTGCTTCCTTTTAAACTGCCAGGCTCAGCCCACTGATAGGCTCAACCTCCCTTCAAAACAACTGCCTTTGAAGGAAGGAGGGAGGTGGGACGTCTCCCAAATTGGACTCCAGCTCTCTTACTTTTGTCACTGTCGGAACTCTTTAAGCTAACTTGGTTCAGCGGAGGGATATGGAATAATTCAGAGGAGCAGTCGTCCCAACGAGAAACAAGGGCCTTCTAAAGAATGGAAAAGGAGCATTATCTTAGGGCATCTTTATCCCCATTCTCTTTCAGAAAGGGATGGGAAAGTTGCCACTTGAGAATTAAATCAGACGGACCAGTAATATGAATCCTGATACTAATTAGCTGTGTGACCTTGGGCAAGTAAAATCACTTAATCTTTCTTGGGGCCTCAGTCTCCTCATCTGTAAAATGAGGGTTGGATTAGATAGTCTCTAAGCATTAAGTCTTGTGATCTACTCTAGACCCCTCATTTTAAAGAGGAAAAAAACAGAAAGAAAGGATATGCCCACAGTTACAAGTCACTTTCTCTCTCCTCCAGCCTAACTTGGGAGTACCTTGGGAAGAGAATCCTAACACTGAAAGATATTAGAACTTTGAACCCAAGTCATGACCAGTCCTGACTCTGGAGGACTGATGGTGAAATACATATCTCCAGAGAGGATCTTGGCAATTTCTAATCCTAAATCATAGAGTAGTCTGGGAGAAAGGACTTTGTGTCAAACTCCAACACAGGAGTTAAAAGCAAAGACATAATCTAAGCTAGGGTGTACTGTGCCTGGCTTTTGTTAGCTGGGTGCTGTGGCTCATAACCTCTGGCTGTGACTAAATAACTGTCAGCTTGCTTTTATCAAAGACCTGCTTTCCAGTTTCTGTACCCAAGCAAACTGAAGCTGACATTGTCAGAAGGTAGCCCTGAAGAGATAAAGCTGAGAAGCTGGTGGTAGGGAGCAACGCAGGGGGGTAACCATGATATTAACAGTGGATTGGAAAGCAGAGGAGCCCCAGAGATTGACAGAGAAAGAAAGCAGCAGCCCTAGCACGGTGTGGTGGAAAGAATGCTAGACTTGGAGTTAAGAAGGTGAGTTCCCGCCACAGACACTCAAAAAACTAGGTGACCCTGGACAAATTCCAACTTTTCCTGCTTATTTCCCCATCTGTAAAATGGGTATAATAATAGCACCTACCTCACAGAGTTGTGAGGACCAAATGCAATGATATACGTACAGTGCTGTGCCAAACCTAAAATTGCCATGTCAATGCTAGCTAGTATTATCCCTATTATCATAACCGGAAGACGTCAGCAGCCCTGCAGCATAGGAAGTATGAGTTGCCCCTCCGTGAGTGTGCCCTGTTCACGTGCCCCCAATGTGTGTACCCCCACTTGTATGTTCCTTGGTCACCTGCATTCCCTTCACACGTGATTCCTGTGCACATCCATTCTTCCAACAGATGGTGAGGACATTTGTGGGAAAGTATGCCCCAAGTGTGACACAGACTGGGAAACTGAGGCCTCATGAGGTTAAGTGATTTGCCCATTTGGCACCATGGTAAGGGTGGGATTCAAACTCAGGTTCCCTGATTCCAAAGCAAGCATTCTTCCACTACAACAAGGGTTGACCAGGGCTTGAATGGACCTCACCTCTGTGGGGACTGACATTCTACAGCAAAGCCTTATCTTAAAAGTACAGTGGGATTTGGGGCTGCCATGGCCTTTGGGGGATGGGTGCCTTTTTTTGGATATCCTTTTTAGTACTCTTTCAATCAAACCTAAATCTAACCATAACAGGAAGAGAGCTCATCTAGCCCACCCTCCCATTTTGCAGATGAGGAAATTGAGGCCAGAGTGGTAAACTGACTTGACCATGGTCTTACCTATGGCACGGAGGAAGGTTTCCTCATCTTTCATGACTGAGCACCGATGGCTGGGTCTTTCAGTCTTTGGGTCAGGAAGGCACACAGCCTTCCCATAACTCCCACTCCGATCCCTTGTACCAAATAAACACGGAGCTGCTTCCACTTTGTCTAAACACCCTCACCACGTTGGTAGCAATGCCTTGGGGGAGGGTGCAAGATTTATGAAGCTGGAGAAGAGCCCCACAGGTTGTGTAAACCAGTCTCCGAAGGGGCAGGCTCACAGCCCCCTGGGCAGTCTCTCCAGGCAAAGTCTGTTTATCTTCTGAGTACGCAGATCTTATACAATCTGAGGGGAGGGAGGGTGGCCCCACATCTCAGGGCCAGAGAGGGGATCCCCCCCGACACACACTTGCAACAACATTTGAGAAGAGATTCCTGTCTTACCTGATAATGGGGAGAGGTCTCAGAAAGCATCATTCCCAACTGGTAGCTTCCTATTTCAACAAATTATTTTTACTCACTAGGTGCTAAGCTCAGTGTTTGTTTTTGTTTTTGTTTTTGTTCTTTAACTGTGAAAGGAACACAAACTGGCAATGATAGCCTTCCCAAATGTCAATGACCTGGTTCAAAGTCCTGTATGTCCCACCTTAATTAGCATTCCTAATATGCCCATTTCACAGGTTTTGAAAGGATCACCTGAGATAATATTATATTGGTAACTCAATTTAACATACATCTGTTAAGTACCCACTAAGTGCAAGGCCTTCTCTAGAGGTTTGGGGCACAGAAGGTAACTAGACATAAAACCCAGATCTCAAAGAACTTACAGTCTAAGAGGAAAAAGGCAGGTGACAAATAACTACGCTTCATATGAGAAGATGATTGTGAAATGGGCAAAGGAGAGAGCCAGGCAAAGAGCTGGGAAACACTTGAGGACTTCCCTTGTCAGTGTGGAGCACTCAGGGAAGGCTTCACAGAGGAGGTGACATATGACTTGGGCCTTGAAGGGAGAGACATCAATAGATGCAGAAGGATGAGACATAACATGAGTTTTAAGCCTGATGTGTTTCCATCATGTTCTTTTTTTTTTCTTGTGAGGCAATCGGAGTTATATTCTTCTTCTGATGGAGAGAATGTCTGCCTACGTGGGGAGTGGAGTTGGTGGAGAGCTTGGGAGCTGAAAGACATTCTTCAGCCCTTCTTTGAACACAGTGGTTTCATGCTTTCTTTGGGGAGAGATGTGTGTGTGTGTGTGTGTGTGTGTGTGTGTGTGTGTATGTAAAGAAAGAGAGGCAGAGAGAGAGAAATATATATCTATATATATACATACATACATATATATATAGAGAGAGACAGACAGACAGAGGCAGACACAGAGAGAGAGAGAGAGAGAGAGAGAGAGAGAGAGAAGACTTTGGGAAGAGAGAGATATGGAGGAGCTGGCACCTTCCCATGTCCCTGCTTTCCAGTTTGCTCCCTCAGAGACTTGGGGAAATTTCCCCTTGGGTGAAGTCAGGCATCTTCCTTGGTTAAATTTCTCCTTCAGATAGATGGGATTACTCACTCTTGGCTATTTGTGATGCCATTTTGTGCAGCTAGCATTTGGTGGGAAGGAGTCAAGTCTGAAGGTGCAGGCTTGGAATTACCCCTTCTCTTTTAAGACGTAGCAACTAGGAAAGCAATTGAACCTAAAAATAAATCATTCCCCCAGACCTGAGATATTTAGGGGGCAGATAGCTATAATCAGAGTGCTGGACCTGGAGTCAGGAAGACCTGAGTTCAAATCTGGCTTCAGACCCTTATTAGCTATATGACCTTGGACAAATCACTTAACTGCTGTCTGACTCAGTTTCCTCATTTGCAAAATGGTGACAATAATACCTTTTTCAAGGGCCTGTGATTTCCTAATTGTGGGGTTTTTCCTCTTTTGAGCCCGATGTGGTAGAAAAACACTAATTTGGAGTCAGAGGATTTGGGTTCAAATCTTGTTTCTGCTACTACCTGTGTGACCTCATTTCCCTTTTCTGAGGCAGTTTCCTCATCTGTCAAATGAAGAAAATGGAATTACAGACCAAATAGCTCTGACCCCATAATTTTATGATTGAGAGCAGGCACTGTGCTTCATTTTTCTTTATCTCTCCCTTAGTGCGCAGAGTGGCCTTGCCTGCAATATCTCTCAAATGCCTGGGTAAAAAAAATGTCTGGGAGAGCTTTCGGCAGGGTCATGTGCAGAAGAGGACACTAGGGGGCGACCTTGTCAATATCTTCTTGGGATGTTTGAAGTTGCCAGCGGTCAATTACAGGAGTCATGCCCAGGAGGCAGCTTTTGGACACACATTCCAGTGTTCCTTTTCCTCTGCCCCAAACCCTTCCCAAATGCCCCTCCCGCTTTATGTCTGAGCTCTCCTTTCCCTCAAGCTCTTCAAGCAGAGGGCAGAAGTATAACTTTTTTTCTATTAGGTCACAAGACTCAGAGCTTGAATAGATCATTGAATCTTAGGGATCATTGAATCAAACTCCTTAATTTTACAGATGGGGAAACTGAGGCCCAGAGAGATGATGAGTCTTACCCATAATCATATACATGGTTAATAAGCCAGAGCCAGGACTCCAACCCAGGACTTCTTTTTACTCTTAATTCAATCCAATCCAAGCAGTCAGAAATTATTAAATACCCACTGTCTCTTTCTGGTTTGTATCTATGATCTCTTCATTTTACAGGTGAGGAAACTGAGGCCCAGAAACACAGTGTATCTTGCCCCACTTCATACAGCTAGTAAAAAGCAAAGCTAGGATTTGAACCTAGGTGTTTATGATGGGGTGCTTGGGTGCCTGTGCTTGGACCCCAATTTCTCCCTGGCCTTACAAACACTATCCCTGGCAGTTTCCCTCCAGCCCAAGGACATTATGCCTAGCAATTACTCATGAGCAAGACTCTTTCTCCCTGGTGCAGCTACACAAAGTTGGGTGAGAGAGTGCTGGGCTGCTCAGGCCCCAGCCCTAAGACCACGTCTCTGGAAGCCTCCCAGTTCCTTAGTAGGGTCCTGTCTTGTGAGAAAACTTTCCCTTGTTGCAAAGCATTCTCTAACCAGGACAGAGGAGAGAGGGGTGTCTTGTCTGGCCCAAGGAGTTTTGTCCCTGGCTGGCCCAGGGACTCTTCCTCCCTCCAGATTCCCAAGATCCATGCCTCTGACATCTCCCTCCCTGTCTGGTATACTCCCTACACTTTCCCATCCATAGCTCCCAAAGACACCTGGACCTTTAGCTTACCTAATCAGTATCCCTGGCATTCCTTTCCCATGCCCTTTTCCATATAAACCCTAGCTCATTCTCAGTCTCTCACAGGTTCCTTAAGAATCCTTGCCCGTTATATAGCATAATCTTTGCCAACTTGACTTAAAGAATGCTTGAGTCTGTGAATTCATTCCAGATGACCCTGTCCTGTACTCCGGTCTTTGAGGGGTCTCAACCTCTTAGACCACAACATTTAGACTCCAAGTATCTTTATAATCTTAGCATTACTAGCTTGGGGATATCAGGATAGGCTGGAGAAAGTGGCAGTTGATTGACCCCAGATTGTCTCCCATTTGGTTCAGCCACTCATACCCAGAATAGTCAAGAAGATACATCTAGAAAAGGCCATGTGTCACTTTTCCTCTGGGATAATCCCTAACTTGGGCTTCATGAGGCCTAAGTCAGAGAAAAGAGAGTTGATTCCATAATATTATCCAGGGAGAGGGAAGGGGAAGAAAGATTCCAATTCCAAGTTCTTGGTGTGTTTTCTGTAGGCACAGAGGCCCTGGGAAAGGTGAGCCCTTCAGAATCCAGCAATAGGACCCTTTAAAAAGCCTAGCACAGAGTAAGCTAAGGCCTGCCTTTGTTTCTCTGAAAGTCAGTAATACTCCTGAGTGCCTGCTCTCCCCACATCTTCCTGTAGGTTCTAATAATTAAAGAGGTCTAAATACTGAGAGCTGAGGTGCCCACTGTGGGAATGTTGTGTGCCTGGGCCATTTTTCTGGCCATGCCTAGCCCTGAGAAATGGCCCCAAATGTTTAGAAATGCCCTCCCTGCTTGCTCTGGGCTCTCCCGACTCTGGCCTTGGCCCAGACATAACCAAATTTAAATCAAATTCAAGAAGGAATGAAGACCATCCCAAAGGCCATGGGCAGAGTTACTTGGTCCATCAGCGGCGCCCCCTTCTCAGAATCTTCCCTGAGTGTGCTCAGCATGGGAGTGGTGAATAGATGCCGGACTTGAAGTCAGCAAGACCTGAGTTCATTATCTTCCCTGAGACACTTAGCTGTGTGATCCTCAGCAAGGCATTTAACCTTGGTCAGGCTCAATTTCTTCATCTGCAAAATGGGAATAATAACAGCATCTACCTCATAGGGTTTTTGTGAGGTTCCGCTGTGATAACGCAAGCAATGTACTTTGTAAGCACCAAAGTGTCAAATAAATGCTAGTGAGGGCGTGTGGAGCAAAAACCAATCACGTTTCTCCACCACCGCCATGTTTACAAGACACTTTCCAGGTGTAAATCTTGTTATCTCTCTGACATGGAGAAACTGCACATTGAGAAATGAAATTCTAGAGGCTCAAACAGAACATCATGGCTTGCCAGGCTCTGAGGACAGAGAGGTGATGCAGGGGCATAGGGATTAGGCAAATCTCCCTCTGCACTGGGCATTTCAGGACGGAGCACCAGTACAGTAGCACTGCTGGTTTTCATTTTTCGTTTTGCTTTGAATCGGGGAATGAGAATCAGGAGACTATGAGATGAGACAGAAGAGAGGGGAACAGAAACAGGAAATATGGTAGAGGAAGTTAGCTGGCATGATTACCTCCACCTGTCAGGCCCCTAGGAGGGGTGTGGCTGGAGTAGACTAACAATGCTTGTGAAATTTTTCTTTCTGGGAGACGTGGTAAAGGTTAGTGACCTGAACTGTCTCTCCTTCCCCCTCCCTTATCCCTATCCAAATGAATAGACATTTATTCTAAAGTTTTCATGTTCTTAAAATTTCTTTATACATTATGCTTTAATTTGTTTAACCATTATGCTTTATTGACTGAGATAAAGATTTGAACAATCCAAACTGCTCTGGTTTGAGTGCGTCATTATTGGTGAATTGTAAAAAGGGGTCTATCCTAGCCAGGGGGCTCCTGAGCTAAGTGAGAGAGAATCGTATTGATCTTGATTTTTAAAATATTTTGTATAAATGTCCCAAAGCAGGACAACAGATGTTTCTCCCCCTTAAATAAAAAGTGAGTCAATTGCCATTTTGGTCTCTGGTGAGAGGCTGGATGAGGTCATTATTTCTCCACTCTGTACATGTGCGGAGAAATCTCTCTGTACTGCCGGAGCTAAAGGAAATGACTAGAGAGCAGGTCCCACCTGGTGGGAGAAGAAGAGGTGTAGCTGAATCACTGCTAATACCCATATTCCAAGGGTAGAGGCCAGAGGAGGGAATGAATGCCCACTCCCTTTTCTATAAAATTCAACAGGACATTTTTGTTTCACCTTCAATCAAAAAAAGCCTCCAACTTTCACAATCATCTGGCTATGGGAACAAGGGGTGATGGTATTAATGAACAGCATAGACATGGACTGGTAAGCATATTGATTTTGGAGATAGAAGACCTGGGTTTAGATCCCAGCTCCACCAATAACTCCCTGCATGACCTTCACAAGTCTGGGCCTCAGTTTCCTCACCTGTAAAATGAGGGATTTGGACCAGATGATCCCTAAGGTACTTTCCTCCTCCAAATCTGTACTCTCATAAATATTATTATCCCTGTTTTATATAAGAGGGAACTAAGGTTCAGCAAAGCAGAATGACTTGACCATAGTCATATAGCTAGTAAGCCTTCGGGTGCTGAGGCCTGTGCTTTCTCTACTCTCCCCAACAGTAGCATGGGAAGATATGCAGGGGGAGAAGTGTTCACCCACATGATATGATCTGAGGGAGCCCAAGAAGACCCAACTCTGACTCTCATACGTCTCCCTCATGATCTGACATTCCACTATTAGAGAGGCATTGTTGTTGTTCAGTCATATCAGTTGTATCTGACTCTTTGTGACCCCATTTGGAGTTTTCTTGGCAAAGATACTGGAGGGGTTTGCCATTTCCTTCTCCAGCTCATTTTACAGATGAGGAAACTGAGGCAAACAGGGTTAAGTGACTTGCCCAGAGTCACACAGCTAGTAAGCATCTGAGGCTGGATTTGAACTCCAGTCTTCCTGACTTTGGGCCCAGCCTT